GTTACATATATGCAGTCTGAACGCGGCGCGACAGTGGTATTTAATACCGCAGATTCCACCATCGCATGTTCTTGCAGAAAGTTTGAATCCATAGGTACGTGGACACATTTCAATTTGCAATATAGATTGTACTACATATGCTGAAAATATCATCATCTATATTTCATAGGTCTGTTGTACAAGCATGCACTCAGGGTCTTCAATATGAATGGAGTTTACAATTTGCCATCTCAATATATACTAAATAGGTGGACAAAATATGCAAAAAGAGGATTTTATATTGAGAAACAAGGAAGTAAGAAGGAAGATTTGAAAACACATGCTGCTCTTATCTCTCGAAATGCGACTTCTGTTGCATTGAAATGTTCAGTTTCAAAAGAACTCCTTGACGATTTCCGAAAAACTACAGAAAAGTTCGACTTAGAGGCAGATGTTCGTCTAAGGAAGCTGCAAGAAGAATCCAATGATGCTCCGCTAGTGGTGAATGAATGTGACAGTGACACTTTAAACGCTTCAATAAGTTTTAGAGTTCCCCAAGTGGTAAAAGGCCCAAAGAATTCACGCTACAAAAACGTGGTTGAAAAGAATTCAGAAAAGAAGAAGAAGAAAAACACTAATAAGAAAGGTACAGATCATCCATTCTATTTATTTTTCCCATTATGGCTACTTCTATAGTAATTCTTTTTTTCTTACTTACAGATCGGGCTACAGGAGAAGATCCCAAAAATGGTGCTGAAAAGAGAGATGAAAGTGATGATCCAAAGCAATTGATCGTAATACATGACTTGGGCTCATTATTTGTTTTTCATAATTTATTTACCTACTAGCAATTGTAATAAAAAAATTCATATTATGTACACAGGACCTTCATGCTGGTACCATTTCCAATAACACTGCAATGCCAATGTTTGCAAATGAAGTGCAAGGGCAATCTTCAACCATGGCTACTCTGTTTATCCAAGGCGGACAAGCTAATGCCACAATGCCGTTGTTTGCAAGTGATATGTACAGGTCATCTTCGAACATTTCAGCTCCTTTCTTCCAAGGTGGACTTACTGGTCTTCTGCTTGGAGTTGAACAAGATGCCACATTGTCCAAATCTGCTAGAAAGTTACACTTCAATGAATAATAGTCATTTTCGGTCACTGAATTGTATCATTTTACTTCCAGTTTGAATTAATAGCACTCTGTAAGACTTAGCTGCATTCTGTTTGAATGCAGTTTATTTTATTTTGGCATTCAAAAATTCAGTCATCAACGCTTTGGTCTTGTCAATGCAAATGTCTGAATTTCTACACTAAATGGAACATCTCGATGATTTGCTTGAGAAGATCCTCTCTGTTCGATATCAAATGTAGTAATATAAACTGAATACAAGGTCATTGCAGACAATGACCTGCTTATCCTTTTCTGCTAAGAAAAAAGAGCTTATCCATTTCAGGCTGTGGCATACAAACATTCAGAAATCAACGCTTTGCTATTGTCAACACAGATGTATTCAGGCACTCTGTTCGTTTTGCATTTCATATAACCTGCCTGTACTCTGGAGAACCATATGTCTCTCAAATAAAATAGCACAGTGTACATATTACATTTGGGGCCTGAGTTACAGTCACTACAAGCTCTCAGGTTGCAAAAAAAGGTTACAGTCATGAAACTACATTCCAATACAACCATATGCATAAGATTTTTATACAATTCCAGCTCCAACCCTTGTTCAGTTTTGACTGGGCAGAGGACGCCCCGGCACTTGATCACCGCGAACATGTATGTCCATAGTTTCAGTTGGTGTTTCAACAAATTGAGCCGTATTGGTGAGATGCACCTTTCTAATTCAGATAAGATAGCTTCCTGACTCCCTAGAAACAAAATGGAAAGCTCAGGCTGCTGCATCAAACAACGGCACGGTGATTAAAAAATTGGCAAAATGAATGTGACTTAGGACAACAGAATCGAAGCCTTTACATGTCAAGCACCAATAGCTGGGGCACCATCGGTCTGCTCGTAACATTCATCAGCACCATGGTCCATCCCGATGCGACTGCGGATCTGCGGCAAGCTCATGGAGGACCTGACCTACCTCATGTGGCTGGACGCTCGGGGTGCCAGCTTGTTGCAGCGTTCTCCGTGGGCCGGGGCCTGGAACCAAGGTAGGCGAAGGCAACGACGGCGATGATCGAGAGGGGCAGTGGCGGCGCTAGGGGACGGGGGAAGTGGATGCGGATGAAAGAGCACAGAGACGACGCGATGGGGATGAGGCTGGGCTGGTTTGGGTGAGCCGGAGCCGCACGGCCTGGGAGCCGATGCGCTGGGCGTCGAAGCCGTTCCTCGCTTGGCCGTGCGATCAAATTTCGGGACGCGTGGCTTCCATCGGCGCGGAGTCTGCACCGAGCGCGTCTGCACATCTAATCTTCTTCCGCGGGGCGGGCTGGCGGTGTGGCCCGCGCCACTTTAGGCCGTGTTTAGTTCCCCCGAATCGGCGCCGATCGATTCACGGTAGCTACTGTAGCTACAGTGTTGTTTTATTTTTATTTGATAATAATTGTCCAATCGTTGACTAATTAGGTTCAAAACATTCGTCTCGAAAAGTACAATCAAACTATGTAATTAGTTTACAGTGTCGTTTTGTTTTTATTTGGTAATAATTGTCCAATCGTTGACTAATTAGGCTCAAAACGTTCGTCTCATAAAATACAATCAAACTGTATAATTAGTTTTTTATTTCGTCAACATTTAGTGCTCCATGTACCGTAAGTTTGATGTGACAGAAAATCTTCTTTTTGTATAGTGTTAAAGTTGAGAATTTAGTACAACTAAACATGGCCTTAATAAGATTAGGTCCTGGAAATGTATAAGTGACATCTTCCACGATCTCGAAATTGACACCACTGCTCCTCTATCTAGGCCTTGTTTAGATTGAAAAAAAATTAAACCCGATAAATAGTAGCACTTTCGTCTTATTTGGTAAATATTGTCCAATCGTGGACCAACTAAGTTCAAAAGATTCATCTCGTGATTTCCAACTAAATTGTGCAATTAGTTTTTTTTTTTACCTATATTTAATGCTCCATACAAACGGCTAAAAATTGATGTGATGAAGAGAGAAGTGAAAAAACTTGGAATTTTGAGGTATCTAAACAAGGCCCTACTATTGATTTTAAATTGGCACAGTGGTCATCGTCGTCGTCGTTAGTCAAGGTCATCGCACCACCAATCACGGGTCAGTGCTAAAGATTGAGCAGCGGCCACAGCCGCACGTCCATCTTCAAAACATGTCTTTGTCTCAAGCTCTCAAGCAGACCATTGTGCTTCATCTACACCTGTCATGTCTAACAGACCAACTAGCAAGTTCGTCCACCTGTCAGCCCCATGAGTATCGAGTGTCTTTGGATCCTATCAGAACAAAAAATTGTACGTCTTTTGAGTTTTAGTGGTTTAGTTTTTCCCGTGTTTCTATCCTAGACAGGGTAATTGAATCTTTTGATTTTCTCTAGGTTTAGAAACTTTATCTTACAGTCTATATATGGTCCACTAATTCTCATTGGATAGAGAAGCGTTACCCTTTTAGTCAATAGTCATGCACTTTTGTATTCTCTCTAATGAAATCAAATTATATGAAGGTTCCATGAAATCATTATTCAGTCGTGCCAAAAATATGTTTGCCAATAAATTATTATGGCATACAACTTTAAAATCATTGGCTACTTCCAAGCATGATACATGTGTATTTTTCCTACTCCCTAGAGTAGTTACTCATATTTTTAATAAACCACATTGCATATGTGTGCATATTCATTATCAGTTTGAGTATATTTATATACTTGTTTTAAGATACTCTAAATCTTACTACGTGATTTTTTATCAAAGATCCCATATTTTTAATATGTTATTATAATACCACTACAGTAGTATACTAGTATATAAAACAAGTATAACCACATACTCTATTTACATGCATACTTGGGATGCATACTACCTTAAATGGTCTAGTATGATCATATATACACCGTCTATATACACTTCATTGGGTCATATATACTAGAGATATACACATAGGAGTAACTACTCCCTATGAGTAGGAAATAATTTTCCTATATAATTATATGATTCAATTTAATTTCACCGGTAAGCAATCAAAGCCACCTGATGCTAATAACATATACTTCGGCAGTTGAAGTTATCAAAAAGTACATACGCTACTTCTAATATAGGACTTTTCAACCGAATAATCATCATTGTTAATCTATGCATTGTCTATCAATTTTTTCAAACTCTCGTGGCAACGCGCTGTATATTCAACTAATAATAATAGTAAAACTACACTATGCTACTCTCTTTGTCCCGCAATAAATACATTTTTCACTTATTTTGGGGATAATCAATCAATCGCATCGACGGTCAGTCACCTCACCCAAAAGGAAAAAGGCAAAAAGAGAAAAAACAAAGAAAGAAAGAATGATCTAGAATACTCCCGCTATACTTAAAATCAAGTGTTTTGAACAGGATTTAGAATACTCCCTCCATACTCATCCTCCGGCTCCGGAGAGCCCACCTCATCGTCCTCCTTGGAGGCTCCTGCGTCTCCGACTGCGTCATCCTCCGACTCCTCCGCCGCGGCCAGCGACGTCCTGCGGCGTAGCTCGATGGACTCCGGCGGCACGACGTCCTGCAGCGCAGATCAACGGACCACCATGACGCCCTCCGCCACGACGTCCTGCCTCGCTTCGTGGCCTCCATTCGTAGCGCGAGCGAGCTCTCTCTCTCCATAGAGACAAGCGACGCACTCTCTCTCTGATGCGTGGCGCGAGCGAAGCAAGGGACGACGGCAAGTGAGGAGGGGCAATTAAATGTATCCTTGGGCGACGCCGTGACGGGCCAGGATATGAAACGGTAGGGGTAATCCCATCCAAAACTCTCTCCATACCCTAAAACGACTTCATTAGTGAAAACTACTCCACCCTTAAAACGACATGATTTCTGAGTAGCGAGGGAGTACTAATTCAGAAGTCTAGCAGCGTGGTACTGAGGTTGAGCAGCGTGGGCAGCGCGCTGGGCGCGAACTTCCTGGCGAAGAGGTAGCAGACCGTGGTGGGCTTGCCGTTGTACAGGCACAGCGTGCCGTTGCTGCGGATGGCGGCCATCAGGTCGCCCGTGATGGCCGCCTTGCCGAAGCGCGCCGGGTGCGGCCCCCCGCGCGACCAGTCCACCCAGGTCACCGTCCGGTTGGCGTTGCGCGCGCCGTGGCGCAGGTGCAGGAACGTCGGGATGTAGTGCTCGTCCGGGTAGCACGACGGCGTGCAGTGCCGCCGGAACAGCGTGTAGTAGCGCTGGTCCGCCACCACGTCGACGGCGAGGTCCCGGCTCATCTCGAACCATTCGGAGCCCTTGCGCCAGTGCTCCTCCAGCACCTCCGGCGCCATCCGCGGGTTGTACCGCCCCGCGCACTGCGGCACGTCGATGTTGTACGACTCCACGTAGCTCATCGCCGAGTTCACCAGGTACTCGTACACCGTCCGGAAGTTGAACACCGGCACGCAGCTCTCCGACACCAGCACAAAGCGCTGGTTGGACCAGTCCAGCAGCGCGTTGCCCAGCAGCCGCTTCTCCGCGTCCACCAGCGTGATGGAGCCCCACGACACCTCCCCGCTCGGGATCTGCCGCCCGTGGAACGGCGACGACGGCCGGTAGCGCCCTGCGTAGCCCGGCAGCGCGTGCACGTACACCGAGTAGAGCCCCTCGTGACCGTGGAAGAAGCGCTCCCACAGCGGCGCGAACGGCAGCGGCCCGCGCGTCAGGAACAGGAACGCCACCTTGGGCACGCGCTGGAACGGGTACTCCTCCATGCGCGGCGCCATGGACGCCCGCCAGAACAGTTCCGGGTCCGACATCGAGTGGCCCCATGGCGGGCCGGGGTCCGCGAAACCACGGAAGTCCAGCAGCACCGGTGGAGGTGGAGCTTCGTCTTCCGTCATCTTCTTCCTCTTATTATTACTACTGCGACTCCTGCCGCTGCTCGTGGTGGAACTGGAAGCGAAGACATCGCCATTGGTGTTGTTCTTATTACCACTGCTGCTGCCAGTGCCAGTGCCACCGCCGCCGGCTGCCTGCAGGGAGGAAGAAGATAACAACAGCGACGAGGACCCAATGCTGCTGAAGTAGTAGTAGCGCGACACGTTGGCGCTGGCCGACAGCCCGATGAGCACGCCGGCCATCAGGATCACCAGCGCCACCACGGCCTTGAGCAGCCACGACGACCAGCAGTAGTCTTTGCGCGGGGTCACCGGGAAGCCGATGTAGGCCTCCTCCTCGTCCCCGGCACTGCCTCGCCGGGACTTGAGGGTGCCCGGCTTCATCTATCCCGGCCCAGCCCGGCCCTCGATATCGTCGATCAGTTAATATAAGGAACACAACTAGTTGTTTGCGTCTTCGTTGCTCCTTATTAGCTAACTTGTTGATCTGCCTCTTGCAATTGCAAGCAAGATCGGAGACGGTCGTTGCGCCAAGAGCTCAAGACCAGGGATCAGAGGCAAGCCGCCGGCCTGCGATGGTCGCTGCCTGCCACCGTACCTGCTGATGATTGCTCGAGCCACCCTTAACGCCCCTCTGTCGCCGGTGGCCTGATTCCGGTGGAACTAGCAATATGGACGATAGAAATGCAGGTCCCTGCCAGAAACCACCAAGAGATCGATCGAGCAGCAGAACGGCACCGGCCGATCGAGATGGACGGAGTTGGAGATGGCGACAAGATTGCCCGGTCCAAAAATAAGTGATCGGAGCCAAGCGGAATGCATGCGTGCATGCTGCGCTAGCTATCTGCTAGCAGGTGGGCACGTGGAGCTTGGACGGCCACTGGTCCGACTGCATGCGACTGCCACGACGGGAGAGGAGTGGTCGATGGACAAAGCAAGGCCGGCCGGTCGATGCGGCGCGCGCTGCTGCGCTGCACTGGTGATGGTAAAAGTCAGGGCAGGCCGGCAGGGCAGGGCATGCCGCGTGCGTCGTCCATGGGCATCACCGCGGGCAGCCTGCGCGCTTTCATTCGATCGCCTCCACTCTCCCCGTAGGGCCTGATTAGTTGGCTGTATAACTCTTTATCCAGGTCCTCATAATGCAAGTTGGACCTATTTGTTTAGCTGTATATAGCCTTATGCAGGCTGGCACTGTCCTCAAAGCAGTTTGGGCTTGCATCCCACTATTTCCTCGAAATCGGCCGTATCCAATGTCAAAGGGATTGCATTGCATCCGCTGTGTAGAAGCGATGCATCCGCTCTGCCCCTCCCCGCACCCACTCTGCACCGCGTCTTCACGGGTCACCGACTCACCGCCCTCCTCTCCCTCTCATCTTCTCGGTCCCGCAGACCGCTCGAGTCTTCACCGTCGCGGCATCAGGCGCGGTCGCGGCGGCGCGGCCACCTAGCGGCGACACGCAGCTTCGACCTCAGCCATCAAGATCTGCTGGCATGGAGGCGCAGATTCAATCAATTACCTTATTTCCCCACTCGGTATTCTCCTCGCAGCCGCAGCTGATGACGTGGATGGCCTCCTTGATGAGCGTGGCGTGGTCGGCGGCGGCGCCCTACGGCAGGCCGTCGTCCTCGACGAGCGTGGAGGCGATGAACACGGCCGGCTGGCTGAACCGCTTCTTGAAGTTCTTTTGCGACATGAGCGAGGAGCGCTCCAGCTCGTCGTACCCCTCCAGCCCCTCCTCGATCTCCTCCAGCTCGAACGCGCGCTGGTGCTTCTTGTACAGCCCGCCTCCCTTCTTGCTGCCGGCCACCGACCCGTCGCCGAGCTTGTCCTTCTTGCTTTGCTTCCTGAAGAAGCCGAGCAGGCCTCGGCGCGGCTCCTCGCTGCCATCGGCGCCGCCGTCCTTCTTGTCCTTGCGGGCCTTGCCGCGCTTGCCGCCACCGAAGCAGCAGCAGTCGCACGTCTTCTTGGGCCGCTTCTCCGGCGTCCCATTAGTGGGGGGTTTCTTGTCTTCCCTTTTATAAACAAAGGGTAAGCAAGGATTATAGGTGGAAGAAAGAAGAAAAATCAGAGGTAAAGGAGGTTCTACCGAGATGCCGGATCTTTCTTTTTCTCTGTGCGAGCCCTGCTGACACGGCAGATGGTGTCATGGATAGCTCCATGCTGGGTATATGTCCGTTGATCCTAATAGGGCCGCACTGGGCATCTGTCCGCTGATGATGCCATATTCTGACTTTGTCAGCAAGTGGTCACGTCCCATCCCGCTCCGACGGTCGACGCGACGGACCAGGGTGCTGATCCACGACCCTACGGGGATCAGGCGGCGCAATGACCGCACGCCTGTTATTGTAGATGATGCGAGTTTCCTCATAGACCGTAGTGACGGCCGCGGCTGGTCTTAGCCGTACGGCGCCTGCCGGTTGAACACTACTACATGTTGTTTGTTCCAGCGTCATCGTCTCGGAGGCCATGGAGATGGAGGCCGTACACCATGTTGTTTGCCACTTTGCCTTCTTTTTCTTTTCCATGGCCATGGAGGCCGACGGGAGAGATTAGAGGGAGGACGAAGACATCACGAGAGAGGGAGAGATGGTGATGACCAATTCAACCAACCAAATACAGGCAACTATGCATTGCAGTATCTAATGCGGGCAACCAACAAACAGAGCTTTAAGTTATGCAAAGTGGAAACACAAGACAACCAAACACTGCTTAAAGCAAAGTAATATGCTGGATTGGATATCTAATACTAGATCCTTATGCTGGCTACCACAATACGAGCAACTGTATAGCACCATGGATGATGCTAAGATTAAGGTTCTTTGTGGTACAGCTCAACTTCACTAGTGAACCCTGAAGAAGCTGTCTTTTTTGGTGGAACTGAAGCTGTTTTGGTGAAACGTTTGGTAAAATAGCTTTTTCTGATTAGCAAAAAAAGATAAAAAGTCAATAATGACCTTTCCTTTTTTTTCTTTTCTCATTTTTTCCTCTTTATTTCTTTCCTCTCCCGGTCTTATCTCTTCCCCGGTTCTCCCCACTGCGTGCATGGATCGCACGTTCCTCCTCCCACTCTCATCTCTTCAATTATGTTACCACCGCCCACCCGTCCGGGCACCCTCGATGGCGTCGTGTGGTGCAGCTATCCTCTCCGCGCGCGTTCCTACGGCGTTGTCCTCCCTACGCAGACCGCGACACCGTCCCTCCTAGCCCTGGTCGTACTGCCGTCTCAGCCGTGCCCGCTCGTAGGCTTCGCGTGGGCAAAGCCGACCACGGATATGCAGGGCCCACTAGTGCAGAGGTGAAGTTGGTTGGAACCAATTTTTTTAGCTTCTCTTCTCTCTCCTCGCTTGTCTTAGTGCGTTTCTAGATATTGCATCCGTGAAGCAGTTCAAGCGGTGCCCTATTTGGTGAATGAAGTTGAAAAACAACTCTTGAAGCTGCCCTCAAATCCCTACCAAACGGGACCTAAAGGTGCTAAATCACCATATATGGAACCCATGATACCAAATAAACAAAAATAAAGAAAAAATCCTTCATTTCATTCATTTATTTTCCTTTTTTCTTCTATTTATAATTTTATGTTTCACTTTTTTTATTTTACATATACATGTGATCTTCACATAGTATACATGTAATATTCTATGCTATATTTTGTGATGTCCGCGAGTACAAATGTGATGTTCTATAATGTTTTTATGATGTTCAGTATACATTGATATTCTATGATATATTTTGTGATGTTCGGTAGCATTTTTTCTTCTTTTTATTTGAGTATAATTAATTATTTCACTAATTTTATTTTTTTTTTTTATTTTTTACATTTCATGATATATATATATGATGTTCACGCAGTATACATATGATGTTCTATGCTATTTTCTACGATGTTCCTGTAGTGTTAATGTTATGTTCAACGATTATATTCAAATACATGTTCATCATGAGATAAATGTTCGTTAAAAATTTTATCGAAATGTATCCATATGGGGTCTTGTTTTGAAAAGTTTGTTGCAAGAAACACGATGGTGTAATTGGATTTTAATTAAGATACTTGGTTTATTAGCTATGACTTTTTTTACTTCAAAAATCATGGGTTATGTGATGATATCAGAAATTTTGGATTTTACTACATGGTTGCTGCTTGGTCTGCTGTAAGAAAACAATTGAATTTAGCCCAATTTAGTGAAGCAAGTGAGGGAGGAAATTATTTTTTGGGGTGGGGAGGGGGGAGGGGGGAGGGGGTCAGCGGGTTGCTCCAGGTGGGGGTGGGTGGGGGGAAGGTTGTCGGTAGGTAGGCGCCCCCGCTGGCACATGCCCTTTATTTTCTTTTTGAACACTGCTTCTGTCAGTGCAGAAAGTGACCAACACGTAAATATTTATAGTTTTACCGTACGTTGTGATCGAATGTGGCCTAACACTCAATGACACAGGGTTTATACTGGTTCATGCAACGTGCCCTACGTCCAGTTCGAGTCGGTTGGTGACTTTATTCCTGAGCCCAGGTGCTCGAATTTTGCTGTGGGGTTACAAACGAGAGGGAGTAAGATGGGGGTATAAGAGGTCTGGTCGGACTCGGACCGAAGGGCCAAGAGTGACGGGAGCCCCGACGTGCGCTAGTGTTGCTCCGTTCGGCTTTAGAGTCCTAGAGCCGAGCAGAGAGAATCGGAATGATCCGTATGCTTTTCGTTGGAATCTTTGGTCGATCGGATTGATCGTCCTCGTTTTAGAGAGAGCGCATCCCCTTTTATAGATGAAGGGAATAGCTTTACAGGAGAAAGAGTGTGTGAGAGAAAGGGAGTGTATGTGCTACCTAGTCTTGTTGCCCACGGCATCGGGTACAAGGTGTTTTGTCGACGCCCACAACACTGTTGATGTCCGGATGCATGTGGTAGGCTCCATTGTGATCTTCTGGTATGGCCAATGTCGGCGCCTACCATATTGTAGGATAAATGTCGATGCCCACAACACTGTTGGTGTTCTGACATGTCTGGAAGGTTGCGGTGCATCCTTCTGACATGGCCTGATAGTACTGTCCCGCAGGTGTGCAGGGCACGGTCCTTGATATTGCGATTGACTGGAGCGCCCTGCCTTACTTACTATGTCCGTTTCCTGGGTCTTCACCGAGCGGGCGTCCCCGGTCAGTCGTTCTCCAGTCAGCTCCGGCCTCTCGGTCGGAGAAGAGCTGTAAGCAGAGGTTCGGTGTACTCCCGGTCGGAGAAGTGAGTAGAGTCGGAGACAAGCGTCGTCCCTTTTCGTCCAGCCTTTGGTCGGAGAGGCGGTCCAGAGTCGGAAGCGATGAAAGCGAGCATCGTCCCTCCTTGGCCAGGCCTTCCGGTCAGAGAGGCGAGTCGGAGTCAAAGGCGAGCGTCGTCCCTTCTCGGCCAGGCCTTCCGGTCAGAGAGGCGAGTCAGAGTCGAAGGCGAGCGTCGTCCCTTCTCGGCCAGGCCTTCCGGTCAGAGAGGCGAGTCAGAGTCGGAGGCAAGCGTCGTCCCTTCTCGGCGAGGCCTTCCGGTCGGAGAGGCGGGCTGAAGTCGGAAGCGAGCGTTGGAATCAAAGGCGAGCTGGCCAGGCCTTCTAGTCGCAGAGGCGGGCTGGAGTCAGAGGCGAGCGTTGGTCCTCCTTGGCCAGGCCTTCCGATCGGAGACTAGATTGCCCTTGGCCTATCGTTAGGTTTTTGGGCCGGTCTAGGAGTTGTGTGTCGTTCGCAACATCGTCTACTGAGCCGAGCTTTTGCTAGTAAGCAGGTCCATGAGGGACCCCGGGTTTATGAACCCAACAGCTTCCTTACAATGCCGCGGGCGAGGAGAGATAGAGAACCTCAGCACTGAACCGACATCCATGTATTCTTTGTATACACTAATGAGTGAGAGGATATGTTATTGAACAGTTCCGCTGCGTGAAACCAAATTGTGTGATATAAGAGTAATTCCGTACGCTTGCTACCATTCTTTTCCCCTCAACACACTTCCTTACAATGTTGCAGGTGAGGAGCGACTGGTCGCCGATGGTTATTTGTGTGAGTGTGTGTGTTTCATAGTGCACATGAACCACCATCCATGTATTTTGTGTGTAATCCACATTAACAATGTAACACATGTGAGATTGGGCCTTGTTGATAGCCAAATTAAGTTGTCAAAGGCATAATGGACTCCACCATTGTATTTCCCTCAGAAAAAGTCCATTTTGCCTCCCTTTGAGTTGGAGGAGGAAAAGCTGACTTTCGCGATAGTTGAGGGAGGCAAAATGGACTTTTTTCTTTCCCTCGCCAAGACGACCGAAAAAACATATATGGATTTTAGATGAAGAAAGGGAGATTTTGAGGACTGATGCAGACAAAGTCTGACCGAATCCTAGAACCAACCAGGCCGGATTTGGCCACACCGTTTTCGGAAAAAAAAAAAACAGCCAAGCCACCCTGTAAAAACCGGCTAGGGCATTTTTCCTGGTCCGAAAAACCTAGGAGTTGGGTTATTATCTCAGTCGGCCATGATCCTTTAATATATATAGAGGTGGTGGTCTTATCCTAGTAGAAAATCTTTCCCACACAAAATCTACACGTTTTCCATGATATTGGGCAAGTTTTCATCAAGTTAGATTCAGCCGGCCATACCGGCAGTTCCGATAGTACGTGTGAGTTTGTGATCTAATTCAGCAGGTGAAAAATGCGAAGAAATATAAACAGCAAACGAATAGTGAAAGTTGATCTCAACATTTACATAGACTTCAGGTTCCCAATAGAAAGTGTTTCATTAGCTTCTTGCCTTTTTCAAAACAATGCACAAATTGACTGAAACTTATAAAGTCTATATAAAATCAAAATCTAATCCAAAAACTACAATTCAAATTTTGTTAAGTTTATTTCTACCAGAGAGGGTTACCGTGTCATTGCGTGTGAAATATAAATCTTGAAAAGCCTGGACATGTACAACCCATATACAATCTACTCCAAAGTCAGTCTAAAGAATTGGCATACGTGTGAATCATTTTGGCCCAGACTGTCTTTTCTTCTTTTGTCACCTGCCCTCTACTGTCATTTTGATAGATATCGATGTGTCGCTGAGACAGTCAGACTGATCGGTAGCTGGCTGGTGTTGTTTTGTTTCAGTTATAGGGCTATTTGGTTTGACGAAAAGAGAATGGCGTGGGGGAGTAAATACAAAGAGAATATGATCAAAAAGCCTAAATGCATTTGGAAATAGTTTAGGTTCCCAATGCAAAAATTGTTTAATAGCTCTGAAAATGATCAAATCGTTGCAGTAGACATGGATAAAAATGTGTGGCCTCGGTGCAACGCACAAACACAAATATAGTATAGTAATAAGTAAATAAATAAACTCTTAATAATTAATCTTAACTTGAATTGATTGAATGGATCGATCAATGACTGTTGACAGATAATAATTTTTTTGACGAGAATCTATGAGGGGAGAGCTTCCCCGCCTAGATTATATTAAGAACAATCGAGAGTACAATCATGATACATATATAACATATATATACTTGCAGTTAATCGAAGCCCAGAGCTATTATATAGAGTAAGCTTCAATTCACAGACATATATATATAGATGGACGATGTAAAAATTGTGGAATAAAGAAGTGAAAAGGTATTATTTAATTTATTGGTACCTGCTAGGTATAGTATATATGTAGCGCTCGAAAATCCATATGCATGCATGCATGGTCAATGCAAGAACAAATTAATTAAATAAATTAAAGAAGCTATTATGTATGTATGTCTGTAATAATTAAGCCGTGGTGGATTCCTTGAGGTAGGCGATGAGATCGGTGCGCTCCTTGGGCTTCTTGAGCCCCGGGAAGACCATCTTTGTGCCCGGGATGTACTTCTTGGGGTTGAGGAGGTAGTCGTACAGGGTGGCCTCCTCCCACACGACGGCCATGTTCTTGTTGGCCGTGGAGTAGGCGTAGCCGAGGGTGGTGCCGGACTGGCGGCCGAAGAGGCCGTGCAGGTTGGGCCCCTGCTTGTGCGCGCCGCCTCGCTCCACCGTATGGCACTGCGCGCACTTGGTGCGGAAGATCTTCTCGCCGCTGCCGGCGTCACCGACAGGGGCCTCGCCAAAGGAAGCCATGGCAAGGCAGCAGCTCTCGAGATGATCACGGTCGGAGTCGGATCGAGATGATTAATTGTACTGTCGTCGTCGACCGCCTGTACGTGTGCGAGGATCGGAGTTGATGATCGATCGAACAAGTACACAGGCACATGGATATATGCATGATCCGCGCGCGTCCGATCGACACCGACACCAATATAGTGCTTAACTAATTAAGTAGACACTAACAATAGCAAGTAGAGATATCGAAGAGGGCGGGCGACCCATCGATCGATCGATGGTGCCCGACGGATCAGGATCAGCTTCAATTTCATTTCCCGCGGTTGGCGCGGCCATCCATCTACAATATATTATAAATTGCTCTCACCTTTTTTTTTATACATCCATTTATATCTAAATACATAACAAAATAGATGAAAAAAATTAAAGCAACATTTCTAAATACATAACTATTGCCTACATTGTAGAAGTAAGTAATGTATCTATAAAAACTAAAAACTTCTCTCGTAATTTGAAACCGAAGAAGTGTAGTATGGGTGTCTACATATCTGGCGACAGGTTTTTCAACCAAAAATCTGTCAAATTTTTGACAAATCAAAAGCTAACACGTCAGCCAACAAAAAATGACAGTTTTGCAATAAAAAAATATGTCAGATTTTGCAACACCTGTTAGCATTAGCACAAAAGATCCAAAAACCAATAACAAACAACTATTTGTTGGCTGATTCGTGAAAAAGTACTGCTAGCTGGTTTGTGTGAGAGAAAAATACGCTCCGACTGAAAATTTAGGATCCTTTACGACAGGCCACGTCGCAAGGGCTCCACACCGCGTCGCTCTGCACGCCGTACCTCCTCCTGGTGCCGCTGGGCCTCCTCGCTCTGCTGCTGGCGCTCCGAGCCTCGGCTCCTTCCGTGCCCGTTTTCCCAGGGCCTCAACATGCTCAGCCGCAGCGCGGGCACCGACGACGGTGGCTACTACTCCGCCGCGCCAGGCGCCGACGAGGAGACGCTGCCACGGCCGCCGGAAAATCAGCCTGCTCGTGGGCGTGCTGACCATGCCGAGCCGGCGGGAGTGGCGGGACATCGTATGGATGGCCTATGCGCTGCAGCCGGCGATGGCGGCGCCCGCGGGCGTGGCGCGTGGGGACGTCCGCTTTGTCTTCTGCAACGTGACTGACCCGGTGGACGCCGCGCTGATGGCGGTGGAGGCCGGCGCAAAGATTTACATGCTGGTGCTCGACTGCACCGAGAACATGAACGACGACAGAGAAAGACTGCACCCTGAATCTTGGCTGGGAGAAGCTGGAAGATGTCGTAAATCTGCATTTCCCCAAAGAAATAAAGCCAGCAACCATAAATCAGTCAGAGAAGGATAAAACAGATAGCACATTATAGACTTGATCTTCAGATTGCTGCTAGAAAAGATAATAGAATTATACGAGTCGTTTGGCACAAGATTTCCTGACTGAATCATGTCAATGGTTAAAGCTAAACACAAAGAAACTAACAAATGAAATCAAATGTGGCAAAGTATTTTTAAACTTCATCTCTGCATTTACTAGCAAAGAATACAGGTACCATGATCAAGTATAGAGAAAGTAGAAATAAAATAGAAGAGTTTACCTGATCCTTGAAACCACGAGAAAGCATTTCATCAGCTTCATCAAAGAACAAACATCTTGATGTTATCAGGGCGGAGGGACACCCTACGCAGCATGTCAAACACACGACCAGGTTTACCAACAACAACAAGCACACAACTGGCTAGAAATTCTTTTGGTCCTCGCGGACAGATGTTCCTCCCACACATGCATGGACTTTAACACCCAGCTAATCACCAAGCGCGCGCATGAATTGTGCTTGCTGAATGACATCAAGCCCCTTGCAGAAGGGAACAATTCCTCTCTGCTGAATTGCAGAAGGCTTCTCAAGATCTACACAGCAAAGAACTGGTGGTAAGAGGAATACCATGTAAAAGGCAAATAGGCTAAAACAAAACAGACTTCCAGCCTACCATAAGCATAAATGCCTCTCAGAAGATTCTCTTGGAGGCTCATGTCATCAAAACTCTCAAAAACTTCATCATATGAAGTGAAGAACTCCTCAGTCTCACCGTGCTCCTGTATTACATGAACATATAGAGGTAAAGTTATTAGATACCACTTGGCTCTCAGGTTAAAAGATGCTAAAAACAAGTAGGTAATTTTTTTTTTAAAAAAGAATGATTTATATTCCTGCATTTTAGAATCATAGTGCTTAGCGTCGAACTGAGAACCCTCAGGTGCCATTCCTGCCATGACTGTAGCCAACAAAACAACATGTTAAGACACAGAAGTTATAGTACATGTGAACAATATGACAGGCAAACAAAAAGGTTTAATCAGGAACCTAGATCAAAAGGATGTATACAAAATCATGAACAGCGGCACAATTTAAGCTTATAACAGAACTTGCCTAAAAGACTACAGCAAGAAAGGTGTTTGTGCACAATACAAATTTGTTCAGATACAAGACAAACACAGACACAAAAACACACAAACAGAGGGAGGGAGAGAGCACACAAAGACACACACCAGCAACGCCAGAAAAATACATGCACCCAGACACACACAAACACCCACAAACGATGACATCCTTGCTATTTAATCTTGAATGAGAGCCTAGCTTCGATGACAAGTAATTAGCAGGCTCGGTAAAAAGAGGGAAAAAAGGAACCACTTGCTATGAAAGTTTCAGTGTCTCGGAGGAAAATGACAGTCACTAAGCAATGTCACACTCACATTAGACCAAACATCATCTAAAAATAGACACCTAACAATAACAAAAATATTTAACTGAATAACTGAACATGTTTCGAGATAAGGGCCATATATCAGTCACTTCACACTTTACCCAATTTAGACCCTTTACTTAAAATGGAGGTTTTCACCATGGTAGAAGGAATATAAAGCAAAATGTGAATTAATGACAACATGCAGCTCTTCAACAACTAAATAAGTCACCATAACCTTTACTACCACATCACAAAGTGAGTAACCAAATGTTTGATGCACCAAACTGAGGAAAAACTAAGCAGCATTAGGTAGCAAGAAAACATACATCTTGGAAGGCCTTAGAATGGATGCTGCAAGCATCAGTGTCCATCGCTGGAGCAGCAGCCTCTGAGACAACAGTCTCATGCTGAATGGTCCGGGGACCCAATACAGCATCAACAACCCTGTGTGCCATGGCACTAACAGTACCAAATGTCATACCTAAAACAAAGTGTTCGTTCAAATTAATTCGAGGATTATAATGTTTATATCTGAAGCTATTCTGAAAAGAACAAGCTTTGAATGCCTACCTTGAGCAATGGTGGACCCGATTCCTCCAAGCATGGAGCCACCGCCATCCTGACACAGGAGCCGGAGGAGGAGCCTGGCGCGCTGCCAAAAAGAATCTGTGTTTAGGAACAGAAATGAAACACATTGTAATTCTAATGCAAAAACAGAAAATAACAAAAATCTAATAGTAATAAGAAAATAATAAATAAACTGGAAAGAGGAGTTGAGGCCCAACACAAGCAAACAAGCAGCATTTCGGCCCACTGGAACTGTGAAGAGGCGTAGGCCCCCCGCGCAACACAAACAAACAAGCAGCATTTTGGCCCATTGGATCCGGCTCCTCAGCCCAAACACTAACCACATAATTGCAGGACGAGTTGCAGTGGAGCCTGCCTGGGAGTGGGAGAGGAGGAAGAAGGGGGACGGAGGGCGGCGGCACGGCAGAGCAGACAGCAGAGCCAGAGCCAGCTCCGAGCAGTGCAGGCATTCCTCACCAAGGTCGAGGTTGAGTCCAGCAGCCTCTGCGCCTTCGCGTCCCTCCTCTCCGCTCCCCCACGGGGGGCTGGTGGGGGCAGTCGCCACGCCGCAGTCCACTGCAAACTCCATTGTCACCGTCGCAGCGGCAGCTCCACCACCTCTCGCCACGGCAACTTCCGCGGCAGCGCTCCTCGTCCCACCGCCGACACCTCCTCCTCGTGAGTCTCGTCGCCCCAACCCCATTTTCCTGGCTCTTCGTTTGCCCTGGTAATGGATCTCTCCTCCAACATTCTCCAATTGTTCAGCTAATCATCTGCCGGCCTGCCTCTTGTCACTCATTGATTTAGGGTTGATTCCATCCAGTTGTAGTGCATTGCTGTGGTGCAGAGAACATTCCCAATAGTTCGTACGCTTGCACGCACGTTTCCACCTCCTTGTTTACTTGTTTGTAGGACGGATTTGTTTTGCTCGACAGCGGATCACTGTTCATGCCTGCATCTGCACTGCCATTCCAGTTTGGGCGAGCTCGTTTTGTTTTGGGCGATCACATTCCGCTCCAATTGATTGTTAGTGATACTGCTAGTCGCTCCCCAGTTGTAATCCATTTCACTTCCCCAGCCCCTCTACTTGCTTGGGCAGGGCTTCTTCGAGTCATTTTGCCATGCTGAGTTTTACAAGAAAGACACTTTTCCTTTCAATCATATGTTCCTAACATACCGGTGCATTCTTTCATGCAGGACTTTCAGATGTCTTTTGATATCACAGAAAAGGATTGCCCCTGCTCTCGCTGCTGCGAATGCCACCGACGTTTCTTGCGCCCTACAATATTTTGGCATTGGACTTGATAGTTGGCAATCTTTCTTGTACTGGACGTTCCAGCTTTCACCAACTTGCTGCTTCTTTTCTACCTACAACCACATCTTTTCCTTCTTTCCAATTTTGTACCTCATTACCATCAATTACTGCTAAAAGTGAAACAAGTGTTCTCACTATGGCCAAGACATCTCTTCCTCCTGGATTCCGGTTTCATCCAACTGATGTAGAACTCACAGTCTACTATTTAAAGAGGAAGCTACTGGGAAAACACTTACGCTGCAATGCTATTACTGAGATTGATCTATACAAGTTTGCCCCTTGGGATCTTCCAGGTATTGCACCACAGCAGTTTCATTTATTTCTGTGTCACTAGGAGTCAAAAGGATCTGTACAATTACCATCACGTGCATTTCTGTATCGTTTTGCATTTGTCTGTAAATATCTTACTTTTCAGATGACGGATCCTTAAACTGTTCTGATGGTTTAATGTCTCTTGTTTCACTTTTTTATAGAGAGAGCTTCCTTGGAGAGTAACGATCTAGTGTGGTATTTCTTTTGCCCACGCGATAGGAAATATTCTAGTGGGTTAAGGACTAATCGCTCAACTGGAGTTGGATATTGGAAAGCTACCGGGAAGGACAGGCCGGTGGTATATAATTCTAGGACTGTTGGGATGAAGAGAACTTTAGTGTTTCATCTTGGCAAGCCACCACGAGGTGATAGAACTGACTGGGTAATGTACGAATATAGGCTGGAGGACGAGGAACTAGCTGCTTCTGGTGTTAAACTGGTATGGCCCCTTTATGTGTTTGATGTACTTTCATTATTAACCTTATTAAATGCACCATTTTGCAGACTACCATCCTTCTTTAGGCAGATTACTCTGATTTGGCTGTATGTAGTTCTTTTATAGAAGTTTGGAATTAAACAAAACCATTGAAATTCTGAAAATTTGCTGAGGTGATTTAAATATTTGGAGAGAAAAAAAAAACTTTTCTTTTGCTCCTTCAATTGATAGATATTTTTCTCGAAAACGCAGGAGAACTGTGCTTTATTATATTAAGAAGAAGAAAACGGGGGAAGAGACCCCCGTACAACACACACCACCCCACTCCACTTTAACAAAAAGTACATACGCGCCTGTGAAAACATAGAGGCGACCAAAGCTAGACTAACTCAGGCTACAGAACTACTGGGGGGGGGGGGGGGGGGGCAAGAATGAAAGCCCCGAGTCCCAGCCAAAGCCCACAACCGACGCTCCTCCAAGACAAAACCCAAAGCACCAGCCAAGCTGGAAGCAGCTCCATCGAAAACACAACTATTGCGGTGATTCCATATGGTCCAAGGTCCTAGGATCACAAGAGAGTTGAACCCCTTCTTTGTTAACCCAGCAGTAGCGTTGCTTGATCTTTCCCACCACCAATCAAAGGACTTATTGATAGATCAGGTTCCCTCCCGCTGGCTGCCACTGCCAGCCAGAACAGAAAGCTCCTAATGGGGAATGTTGCGGTTTATTGAGTATTTTGGTTGAGCAGAGTGCATAGCTCTGGATCATGTGCCAACCTGCGTGACTGAACAAATTTGCACATTAAGTAGAGAACAGAATGACACAAACATTTGTACAAGAGTTGGCTCATTTGATATTAGCTCTTTGCTGAATTAGAGAGTTACCAGTGGCATGCTTTGCTGTATAATTTGTTTCTCACCTCCTCCTTGCAGGATGCCTGCGTTCTATGCAAAATCTTTCAGAAAAGTGGTCCAGGGCCCAAGATTGGGGCACAGTATGGTGCTCCATTCAACGAAGAAGACTGGAACGATGCCAGCAATGTAGAATGTTCTCCATGTGCCCCTTCTGTGGCCCCTTGCGTACCTGAATCAAGTCATGGTGTGTTGAATTTTGCTGGTCAACACCTGGCTGTGAGTTATGATGGCAAGGTTTCCTTGGGCTCCTCAGCAGAACGTATCAACAGACCTGCTGTCAATGGAGTTCATCCTGATAGACCTTCTCCTGATATTCCTAATGATTGCATACACATACAACTGCTAGCTGAGATTATCAGATGTTCCTCAATGCATCTTTTATGTACTGGTGGTGAAGATGGTTTGCTGGTAATTTCGTTGGCACCAAGCTCCTTTCTTTTTTGTTTTCTTTTTTTGTTAGCTCCAGTAACTTTTTTTATTTCTGGTTTCGATGCAGCCTGATTCAACTGCTGACTATGATAGTGACAATAGAGTATCTTTGGATGATGTTGAAACAATATTCTGTGAAGTGGATGAGCTTGGGCCCCAGGCTCTGGTGAACAACACTAATCATTGTGACTCATGTGGTGAACATTTGATTCACCCTATGCTGGTAGCACGAGGAGCCGAGCAGTACTTAGAGCTAAATGACCTGTCCTTTTCTCTCACTGATGGTCCTGATTCCTGTGGCATGCTGTTATCCAATGATGTATCTGTTGAGCAGCCACCAGATCTTGAGCTCAGGTTTGAGCAAGTCTCTCCGGCCCACATCTCCAATACCGCTAATGCTTCCACATCAACAACTGCTGGTTCATCTGCTTCAGTACCCTTAGCTGAGGATCACAGGACCTGATTCAGAGTATATTGGCTGTCACTTGCTTCCTTGAGGTTTTGATGGTTGCTAATCTATGTGTTTTTCTGTGTGTTGATAAGAAACGTGCTAAGCAAATTGGTTGTCATTTTGCAGATTGGAGTCAGCTGGCGCACACGTTAATGGAATCTAGGAGGATTATTTACTGTTCGGGAGGCCGTATCGTATCGTGGATTATTTACTGCTGGCTGGTTTGGTGTGAGAGAAAAACACTGTTCCCGGCTGGAAATTTACGATCGTTTACGAGCAAGCGAACAGGCTGGAAGACACGGCATAATGCTCCTTTTTCCATTTCGTTGAAGTGAGCAGTATGCGGACATGAAGGCACGATTAGTGACCACTTGGCACAGAAACATCTCTGTGGTGCAGTTTGTGAATCCAGGAGCATTCCTCTGCCCGTAGATTTGCATGGTAGAAGTTTCTCCCCCCCCCCCACACACAAATGGGTTGAGTACTGAATAATGCACTCATTGCATTAACAACTTTCCCTAGTGTAGCAGTAGTTATCTGGATCTTTTGGGTAGAGTGGGGCAATGTACTTACAGCCTGTTGCAATGTAGCGGCAATCTCGGGCGATTGTGATCTGACTGTAACCTGTGACAGTATCTTGTTTGGTTACCAGGATTTGCTAGTGTCCGGGCAAGATGCAGTTTTCTTTATAAATAATTTTTATTTCTGAAGATTGATGAAGATGCCGCTGCTATTTTGCTGAAAGAAAAAGAAAGCCTTTCAGTGTCGCAAGACTTTATAATTATGTAGACGCTTATATATATATATATATATATATATATATATATATATATATACACTCTCTCAGGCCCAGCACTAGTGGACATAGACAGGCCCGGGACACAGCTGACGCTGTGAATAGCCATCCGAGGCCTGGTGTGGATGTCGAGACGCGCAAAAGGCCCCTACCTGACGTCAATTGTCGGTGTTTCGAGTTATCACCGACGAGTAAATTTGTAAATTTATATTATTGCACGTGTATGTCTACCGATGCTGGGCCTGGGAGAGTAGGAGAAGGGAAGGGAAGGGGCCGTGTAACAGAACCGATCAATTATACGAGATTAAGTAAGAAAATCTTCCGTCGAAGCAGATAATTTAGCAAAATTTAACCCGTATAACCCGGTAGTCCGTGAAACCACGAAGGATTTCAAACCAATCGACATACAAACCAAGATCGTACAAGTTTAGCAAGTACCATCACACGTTACATAAAGTTCGCAACGACAGTTGATACATCAGAGTTTGGAACATAAAATTATTACATACCAAGTTCAAACTGAAATAGCGGAAGCAAATAGTTTTAAAGCCACACACACACTTTTGATTCAGATACAGTGCCAGTAGGTAGTCATCTCCAACAAAAGCATCAGATGAGAAATATAGAGTGACCATTTGCCCTTGGTCCTAGTTGTCACCCATCGCCGGTACAGGCAGTTAATGCAATAGCCGTAGTACATTTGACCATCTGCAACAACAATGGGAACAACGCCCTGAGTACGAGAAGGTACTCAGCTAGACTTACCCGTCTTAAACCAAAATAAAACGACACCAAGGATTATGCAAGGTTTTCTTTAGTGGGCTAGCTGACTCTTTTGCGAAAGCATAAGTTATCATGAATAAACCATTTTAAGTACTTTGCATCATCTTTATTATAACCTATCCATCTAGGTAAGCACTTGTACTATAGCAATCACATGATTAACCAATAACATTCAGTTACCAATTTAGCTTAGCATAACTCACATCATCCAGATAATCATCATTGTTCCATAATAATTACTACGATGCCGTAGCTCAAGTCAAGTACTCACTATCCAAGAGCGATGGCGATTTGAATCGATTTCTAACCAGCTGGTGATTTATTCCTCACACAAACCATGCTTTCCCTGCCAGGGTAGCTTAGATCACACATGACACTTTTCAGGTAGCCGCGGGATAATCTGGAGCCACAGTACCCAGGGACCGCCCGACTGCCAGGAATCAGGTCACACCTGCCCTTGGGCTCACTCTTCGTGCCCCTGTCATACCCCCATCAGCACCAATACGTGCACTCATGTAGATCCCGGCCCGAATAGTGCCACTAGCTTCGCGGTCGAAAGGTACTTTATTCGGCTAGCTAAATATGAGGCATGCGTTCAACATGACAAGAGGGACGAGCAACGATCGATCCTTAATCGACACAGACGAAAACTAACAGCACCCCAGAACCCTATCTGGTTGCCTCCAACTATTCCGTCCGGTCTCCAATTTTCCATCACATATGGTTAATTCCAGGATATCATTCTTTCCATAGCCAATCTCTTCTAGTAACCACCTATAATGTAGGTGACCGGGTATCACCGATCGCTACCGGTCTAAGCAAGGCTAAGCAGTTATTCGATCCTGACCTAACAGGGTAAAAGGTAATAAGGTAGGCAAGGATAGTAATAAATGCATCAACGGTTTCAATCAACTCCTACAAGTTAATGCAACAATATATAAACTCATATATATAGAAAGAATTGCTTTTATAAAGTAGGAGACTTAGAATGCTCCGGGGCTTGTCTCGTTCGAACGAACTAGGTTGGTGATCCACGCACTCCGGCAAGTCCTCTCCTTGCTCCTCTTCTTCTGGCACCTCCTGTGCCTAGACTTCTTGTGGATTTGTCCTGGTCTGCTCTTCCTGAACTGCTACTAGCAACTCCTCCTGTGATCCTATATGATGCAGATGTATAAGTGCTAATCCATAGGTGCATCGGAGAGATGACATGTAATGATCATGATGCATGAAATATAGATGACCGTGTTTAACTGTATCGGGCATAGTAGAGTAAAGCCCTTCTACAAGGTAGCCAACATCATCTAAGAACATGTACTACTATACTACTACTGCAACCACGGTACTAACATGCCAAGTCACCACATCAATCTAAGATGCTTCAAAGATACACCAAAGCCAACATTACTAACTAATCACGCGTTAAAGGAGATTTGTTTATTTCATGTTAAACTAGGGCTATAACAGAAACATATATCTCTGGTGCTCATAAAAATCTGAGAAAATTACAGTAGCATAGTACTATTCTAAGTAGACTACCATAAAATTTTCATTGCATTTAGATAAGTATAACGGCCTACACAAAAATGACAAGCTATGGTAGATAATTGAGCATGAAAATACTTTGTACTACGAAAAGTGTCAAACAACAGATTTGGTATTTTTCCCATGATCTACAGAGCATACAATTTCTGTCCAAAAAGTTTCACCTACATGTATTATTCATATTTTTAGCCCTAGCAATTTTACAAGAAATAAGCAATTAATACACATAACCTACCTAGCCATATTTTTCCACATAACCTGCATGACATATATTTTTCACTGAAAGTACATCTCAAGAATAGACTAACAAATTTGGAATCACATTTTTCTGATACATATAGAATTTACTACACATTTCACAAGATATCAGCAATATCAAGAATTAAATAAAGCTCTACATTAAAGTAGCTCAAAAATGACATGCAATATTTTTATCATGTAGATTTGATGACAAGGAACACAACAAAATTTATTTCAACAAATTTGGAGCCATGTAACTCGAGATCTACATTTTACAAGCTTTTTAATCCATTTTTGAAATCATTTTAGAAATCCTTTTAAAAAAACCAGTCGAACAAAACGCTGGGTGCACCCGGATTTGAACACGCATGTACACACTGAGACAGAGAGCCCACAACGGGGTCGGGGACCCCACCCACCCGTGACCCCGAGGCCCGAGAGGCCAGGCTCGAGAGCGGTTGTTGGCGGCGGCGTGAGCTCGCTGTCGTGCGCCAGGTGGTGGCATGACGAGGTCACCACCAACATGACCACCTTGCCAAGGCGGACACGGTAGTGCAAGTGGCAAGGGGTGGAGGAGAGAGCGAGGCGGCCGTGATGCCATGGCGGCGTGGTGGTGCGGCTCACCGTCGGGCCGGCCATCTCCACGAGAGAGGCGCGAGAAGTGGCGTGGGAGCTTCACCGAGCTCGGGCGGTGCTCGTGCACGTGAAACGATAGTGAGAGGGAGCACGGAGGGGCGAGGTCCACGGAGCGGAGTGCTCCGGTGAGCTCGGCCACGACTCCATGAGGGATTCCCGGGAAGGAGCTTCCATGGCTAGTTTCGAGGCGAGCACGACACGCGTGCGAGGAGGAGGCGGTGTTTAGGGCGAGATGGAGCGAGCCAGCTCGGGTGAATCGGCGTGGCGGAGCACCACTCTGGCCGGCGATCAAGCGATGCTCATGGCCAAGTGCGATTTGAGCAATGCTCGAGGTTCTATTCCGAAATGCGTTCAAGCGAGAGAGAAAATGTAATGGCGGTGAGAGAGGCCAGGAGCAGAGTCGAGGAGTGCAAACTCAAGGGCAAGCGGTGGTGGCGTGGTTGGATAATATGGACCTTTTTCTCGCAAGCCTACATCGCCCTTCTTCTCTGCTCCCAAAGTGCCACCGTCTAAACCTTCTCTCTCAAAGCTTGACCCACCGCGCCATACAAAGCTTCAAATGGAGCCATCTTGCTTTCTTGGTAACCGTTGTTGTAAGGCCAAAGGTAACCATGCATGTAGACGAGCTCTAAGCATATCTTCGATTAACGCTCAGGCGCACATGGTGGGTGGTGATCAAGCGAAGTAGCAACCCGAAGGCAAAAATGAGTGGAAAATTGGGCTTACTGCGATAGTCTTTGGTATACCATGTAATGGGTGGCTTCGGAAGGAGACCGAGGTGGCCCAAAAAGGTGGTAAAAAACGGGATTTTACAAATTATTTTAAATTCCTTTTTCATTCAAACAAAATTTTGAATTAATTCAGAGCAGTTTCAAACTTTGGCCTAAAAATAAAAGTTGCTCAAAATTTTATTCTCTACAACTTTGCTTTGATGACCAAAGTCAAATTCTAAATATATTTTGAACTACAGATTTAAAGTCAAATAAAATTCCAAAACCCTAGTTTTGAAGAAATAGTTTAAAAGCAAAATTTGGCAAGAATTTAAATATAAACTTGGCTCCAAATTGTATCCTGATTGTTTATAAGCTATCTTAGTGATCAACCCAAGAAATCATGGCATCCAAACATGAGCATGGCATTCCCACTAGTTTAAACATGATGAATTTCAATCAATTTAAACATCACATGAAATGATACGTCATTTCTTTCGAAATGAAATGCATAAATGATGCTTATGCATAATGAAATGATGATTATGCTCATAAGATGGAATGTTAATGCATGCTTAACACCGAGGTGTTTGACCCTCCCCACTTATAAGAATCTCGTCCGAGAGATTTTGAGTTTCTGAACCATTTGTTATAAAAATCCTTATAAGCGTTTTTTTGAAGATACTCTCCTGTTTCCCACGTCGCATCACCATCATCGTGATGACTCTCCATTGTATCTTATATGTTCTCACCACTTTATTCCGAGTGACTCGTCCTTAGTGTCCAAAAACTCGAACCGGTTGCTCATGGTATTCCAAGTCGATTTGAATTTGAATGCTCGAGGTTCTATTCTCTCTTCCGGAATATGCAAGCACTTCTTCAACTGTGATACATGAAAGACTAGAAAGATCAAACCCATCGCTTCTGGTAACTGTAACTTATAAGCCATGGGACCCTTCTTTTCTCACGATCTTGTACGGTCCTACAAACCTAGGAGCAAGTTTTCTCTTTACTCCAAACCTTTGTACCTTTTTCATTGGAGTAACCTGAGATAAACGTAGTCACCTACTTCAAACTCAAGAGGTCTCCTCTCTCTTATCGGCATAGCTCTTACGGTGGGGACTTGTGCCGCTTTCATGTTTTGTTGGATAATATGGAACTTTTTTCTCGGCCTCGTCAACAAAATCAATTCTTGGAAGTAAAACCTTCTCTCTCTCGTGCTTGACCCAATTCAATGGTGTCCTACATTTCGCGCCATACAAAGCTTCAAATGGAGCCATCTTGATACTTTCTTGGTAAGCTGTTGTTGTAAGCAAATTACCTAAAGGTAACCATGATTCCCATGAACCCTTAGACGATAACACACAAGCTCTAAGCATATCTTCTAGAACAGCATTAACTCTCTGCATGGCTCCCCATCCATGACTTCGTGGGTGGTAAGCTATACTACTCTGAATCAAGCTAGTACCCAACCCTTTATGAAGATGCTCCCAAAATGAGTGGTAAATTGGGACCCACGGTCGAACACGATAGTCTTTGGTATACCATGTAATCGGACAATCTCGCAATATACTTCTCAAAGTCATCTCATTGAGGTGGTCGGAAAGTTGTTTTGGTGGTCAAAAAGTGAGTTTGATTTGGTAAGGCAATCTATGATTACCCAAATCGAATCATTCCCCTTTTGTGTGGTAGGGAATCCGGTGATAAAATCCATACTTATATCATCCCATTTTCAATCTGGTATTGACAAAGGTTGCAACATTCCTACGGGTCTCATGTGAAGAGCCTTCACTCTACAACACATGTCATAACGAGCAAACATAAGCGCAATCTCCTTCTTCATTTTTGTCCACCAATAACGAGGTCTCAATTCTTGGTATATTTTGTTACTTCTAGGATGGATAGATAACTTAGAGTGATGAGCTTCATCCATCAATTTGTTCTTGAGCTCTTGATCTTTAGGTACAACTAGACGGTCCTTAAACCATAGCACTCCGTGTTCATCCACTCTAAATTGCCTAGTCGGTTCTTTCTTCATTTTCTCCTTGATATGGAATATTCCTTTATCTGCTTTTTCGACCCTCAATGATCTTGCTCTCCAAGGGTACAAATAACTCTTGGATGTTATGCAACACAATGAGAATGTAACAAATTGAACCCATCCTCAAACAATGGTTACGACAAGAAAATGTGACTTCCTACTTAAGGCATCTGCTACTACATTTGCCTTTCGGGATGATAGTGCACATTTAGATTATAATCCTTTATCTAGAGCTCTAACCATCTTCTCTGTCGCATATTCAATTGATCGAGTAAATATGTACTTGAGACTCTTATGATCTCAGAAAGATATTGCACACATTCCCAAGCAAGTAGTGTCTCCAAATCTTTAGAGCATGCACAACAAATTTGCAAAGCTCTAAATCGTATGTAGGATAATTAACCTCATGCTTCCTCAATCGACGGCGTGAGGCATCACGCAATAACTCTCCCATCTTGCATCGGGACACATCCTAAACCATTCTTTGATGCATCATCATCTCCAAAATACATCAAACGGCTTCCCTATATCTGGTTAATGCTTAGCTGCAACAACAAGAACAGAGCGAGCGAAGGTGGTTAGCAAATTCCATAAAGTGCGTAAAGAAAGTTATCATGAATAAACCATTTTAAGCCTCACCTCCTCCATCTCGTCAATAACATCCCAAAACCCTAGTTTTGAAGAATTAGTTTAAAAGCAAAATTTGGCAAGAATTTAAATATAAACTTAGCTCCAAATTGTATCCCGATTGTTTATAAGCTATCTTAGTGATCAACCCAAGAAATCATGGCATCCAAACATGAGCATGGCATTCCCACTAGTTTAAACATGATGAATTTCAATCAATTTAAACATCACATGAAATGATCGTCATTTTTTTTTTGAAATAAAATGCATAAATGATGCTTATGCAATGAAATGATGATTATGCTCATAAGATGGAATGTTAATGCATGCTTAACACCGAGTGTTATTCTGGTCGAGCCAATGACCACGCCTATGCACCGCCTCGTGTAGTTGGAGACGTTCACGCGCACAGAGAGTAGTAAGTCCTTGAGCATAAGCGGTGAAAAACTATGGAAAACTATGGATGAAAACGGACGGAAATTCTCATACTAACACCGTCACCACCGACACCGTCAAAGATACCGCGATTAATCGATCGCGATACCGCTTTTTTGCGGGAAAAACAAAAACAGAAAACCGACTACCATAAAACCGTATTTTAGGCAAGAAGGAGCGGAATCGGTTAAGGAATTTTCCGATCCGTATTCACGGTTCCCCATATTCGAGCAAGAAAATTCGACGATATTCCCATATTTTGTACACCTAAACCTCATATTCATTCCATTTCGATTGATGCACCCACGAAACCTCCCGCTCTCACGCCATGTGCCCGCAAAATTTACCCTCTGCTCGCTACTCCTCCCATCCATCCCAAAAAAAGCGGCGACTAAACCCTATCCGCTATCCCCTAGTCCCTAACTCGGCGACTCCCGTCCCGTGCGTTATCGCTCTCGCCCTCTCTCCACGAGAGCGAGATCGCCTGCATAGTGAGAGGGAGTATGGAGGGCGAGGTCCATGGGCGTGCTCGGCGTGGAGCGGCCTGGGAAGGGGCCATGGCTGCTTCTTTGCGGCACGCCCACCCTAACCGCCGTCACCCCAGCCGGCGAACTCTGTACCGACCAGCCTTGTGATCATGAAGGGCATGAGGCGCCGCCTCGCCTCGACGTGGCAAACGCCCATGTTGCTCCCTCCTCCAAATCCTCCGGCCCCTAGCCGCATCAATTTGGCAAGATTTAGCAGTCGCATCAACGAGTAAAGGTTAGGTCTTTGTTCTTTTTGCCGGAAAGTGGTTCGCCCATGATGAGACACCGGAGGGGGGCCTTCAATAGTTGGATTGACCTGCCGCCGGTTGCTGATCAGCGTGTGCCGGTGTAGCGCTACCTACCTGTTACCATCTCCTACGTGTGAAGCTGCACTAATTTTTTTTGTCATGATGCAAGTCGCAGCCGACGACTAATTCAAACTGAAAACTGATTGGTGGCGTCTCCCTCCACATAGTTATATTGCTGCATTAGCCGCATCTGGACTAGAACAAGATGTCAGAAATGATGAGCTGTGAGACTGATCGGGTGTGTGCAACAAACTGGTAGATTCTGAAGAAGTAGATGTCAATGATTTTTGTTTCTAAACATGGAGGGGAAGTCAATGTCAATGTGGGTTCACTGGATGAGGCAAGGCGATATCGATATACAGTAGTTGCTAAGTTTCGGTTTCAGTCATCAATTTTGTATCCTTCATGGTTCAACAATATAACAACGTTCCACGACGTTATGAACTTGTCCACTTGTTGGCATATGGTTGCTATTGTTGCATCGAGCTCATTATTTTAAGTGGTTACATATATTGATGTTCCCGTTTTGTGTTACCGTTTTCCGATCGTAATCGATACGTTTCCGTTCAAAATATTCCATTCCCGATATCTCGTAATACCGGTTTCGTTTTTCTGTCCGACTTTCTCATTTCCATTTCCGTTCCCGGTAAAATAATACAAAAACGGGAATGATTCATTTTCCCGACCGTTTTTATTCCTATGAAAAACGCCATAGCTTCTCCGTAGAATCAAAGTGGCTCCCTATTTTTGTATAGGTCGAGGCGAGGGAGCCGAAAAACCCCGCTTTTCCGGATTCACTCCATCTCCACACCATCTGAGGTTATAGACCTCCCCATGAACTTTGATATTATTTACCCGCAAATGCCACTGGTATAAAAACAGAAATCCCTCCCGGTCTCCTCTCCCGCACCCGTCTCTCTCGGCCCTTTCCGTGCGACGCGCGAGGCAGCGACGAGAGGACGGCGCCGGCCGCCGTTCCCCTCCCCGACGCCCGCTGCTCATCCCCCTCCCCGACGCCCTTCGTCCATCCCTCTCGGTCTCCTCTCCCGCTGCTCATCTCGGCGCGAAAGCACCGCTGCTGACCTGCTCGTCCCGACGGCCTCCGACGCCCCTCCCCGGTGAGTTGAAGGCCGATGCTCATCCCATCCCTCTCAAATATGTTCCCTCCCTCAGATCTATCCGGTTTTGTCTCTGATTTGTACTGCTACAGGCTGCCTCCTATCTCCTCTCGCCTCTCGCCTCTCGCTGTCGGATCAAACCCTAGATCTCGTCTAGCCTCCCCGTCCCTCTGATCCCATCCCTCTCGGATCCTCATGGATTCCTCCTCCTCGTCGTCCAGCCTGAGCCAGCAGCCCGAGTTCGACTACCTTTTCAAGCTCCTCCTGATCGGCGACTCCGGCGTCGGCAAGAGCAGCCTCCTCCTCCGCTTCACCGCCGACTCCTTCGAGGACCTCTCCCCCACAATAGGTGATCTCTTTGGCTTCGATTCTATTCCCCGATCTGATCGCCTCGCCTCGCCGCATTAGTCTAACCTCAATCTCTATTCCGCTATTTATTTCCTTCATTCAGGTGTTGACTTCAAGGTGAAGATGGTTAGCATTGGTGGCAAAAAACTCAAGCTTGCCATCTGGGACACAGGTACCAAACCATCGTCTCAACAACACTAGCCTGGAATTTTCTTTTTCTTTTACTACTATGCATCCATCCAGTCAAGTTTTGACAAATCGATCCATGGCTTATATCTGGATAGTAATACCTCAAAAGCAAGGTTCAAGAAAACGCTAGGCGCTAGGCGGGCGCTAGCCTATTGATCAGCTCCTAGGAAGAGTAAATAAACGTAGATTAAACGTGATTAATCGTTTGTGATTTTTTATTATTTTTGTGCTGCCGACAGCAAAATCAGTAGTTGACAGCCTGCAGAGAGTAAACAGCACATGAACAAATGCATCATGCATTCAGAAATTCAGAGAATTGCAAGATAGTAAGGGACTAGCATGTAGAGTTACAGACTACTGGACAGTCAATCACTCAATATCAATTCTCAACCCCAAATCCCCAATCCAATTGATCACTATTCAATCAACATGTAGAGTTGTAGACATTGAGCTTGTAGAAAACATACTGAAGGACAGGGACTGAACGAGGGGAGGACAGGCAGGAAAATACCGAAGGCCTTCACCAGCTGTGCTGGCAACTCGAGCTCAGGTTCTGACGGTTGGAGCTGGGGCTGGGACTCCACTTGGAATCGTCGGCACGAGCGACGGCGGGTCGCAGTGTGCGGACGCGGTGAGGAGAGAAACAGAGAGGTGAGTTGGAGAATCTGGACGACTGGACGGCTGCTGTACGGTTGCTCTGTTTTTGCTCTCCCCCTGCGCACTCTTTTTTCCCGCCCGCGTGCTCTGTCTTCCCACTCGCGAGCGCGCCCGAGCTGCTTTCCCACCCGCCCGCGCGAGCTGCTTTCCCGCGCGTGAAGTCCCGCCTGCCTGCGCGCGAAACCCCGCCCGCTCGCGCGCCTCTGCCCTCGCGCCAGCGCCGCCCAGGGCTGCTTTTCGACGTTTCCGCGCCGCTTAGACGGCGCCTCGTGCGTAGGCGCGCCTAGCGCTTCATTGGCTGCACAGGCCCTAAACGCAATGTTGGGACAGCGTTTAGCACTTAATCGTTTTAGCCTGTTCTTTGTTTTCCCTACAATTGTTTCGAAGAGCTAGCTATTCCATTGCACAGTGCCATTCTTGTTCTGATTTTGTCCATTTCCCCCCTATATACCTCTTATCACATTCTTTGAGTATGATCGTTTCTTTATTGTCGCTGATCACTACCTGTTATGCAGCTGGACAAGAGAGATTTAGGACCTTGACCAGCTCTTACTACAGAGGGGCACAGGGGATCATTATGGGTAAGTTTGTGATTTTGTTGCATTGTTTTTGGAATCTTTACCGTGGTCTGCACTCCTCTTCTGTCCTTTTTGTTATGCATCAGATGAAATTACCGCCACGTCACCGTGGGAAGTCTCGAGTGTCTTTAAATGCCGAATGAAGTCTTCAGCTAATTTGCCTTTACTTTTTCTACTAAGACATACTCTAGTTAATAATGTTAATGTGTTTTTGGTTGAAGTTTAAATTATCAAATGGGAATTAACCAAACTGTATAAATTCCGTATGAAGCTTTGTGTAACTTTAGAGTCACTGCACAACTAGGCAAAGCATTTGCATGCACATTGGTATATTGTATAGGTGGCACACATTTACCCTTTTTTATGTGCGTGCATCTTGTCTAGTTCTATTGAATTATTGCATAGAGAAGCATGATAATTAATTAATGTCTCGTTAAATTTCCAGTGTATGATGTCACTCGACGAGAAACATTTACCAATCTTTCTGATATATGGGCGAAGGAAATTGACCTGTATTCAACCAACCAGGACTGTATAAAGATGCTTGTTGGAAATAAAGTAGACAAGGTACTTCTAAGAATCAATTCTAAATCTTGTAAACTTTGTTTGCACCTTTTATCTTTTGTTTCTGATTGAGTAACCGCTTTCATCTTTTACTGCCCTATAACTGATCTGAAGAGTTCATTTTGGCAGGAAAGTGAGAGAGCTGTCACGAAAAAGGAGGGGATTGAATTTGCCAGGGAATACGGATGTTTATTTCTAGAATGCAGTGCAAAAACAAAAGTAAATGTAGAACAGTGCTTTGAGGAACTCGTTCTAAAGGTATGTTTTGGGCTTTGACATTTAGATTTAGGATTATTTATTTCGCAATGTCATCCGTGCCTTATTCTTCACAGTATTCAGAACTGCACATTTGAAACATAGACAATACATGTTTGCCAAATGTTGGATTGAGGTATCAGGTCATTTTCGATCATACTCTGTGGTGCGCTCATTGCTTGTTTAGCCTTAGCTTTGACAGAAAAAGGTTTGTTTGTACTGTTACCTGCCAAATGCTCAGGTCATTTTCGATCATACTCTGTGGTGCGCTCATTGCTTTGTTTAGCCTTAGCTTTGACAGAAAAAAGGTTTGTTTGTACTGTTACCTGCCAAATGCTCGTGCAGACTAAGACTGACATATTATATTAGCGAGATGAAATGAAGAAGGGGCTAGCAGATTCTTTTATACATCTGTGTCCCTGAATAAATTGGATTCTTTTATTTGTAGTATTGAGTTGTAGTTATTGATTGAGGTGACCCATATGTATGCACGTTGCAGATATTAGACACGCCAAGCCTCCTCGCGGATGCTTCCTCAGGGGCCAAGAAGAACATCTTCAAGCAGAAGCCTCCGGAAGCTGACGCCGCCGCAAGCAGCTGCTGTTAACATGCTTTTGTCATGCTAATTCTGCGCCCTCCTGTGGATGATGATAAATTTGTTGCGTAAAGTGATAAGCTTTGTTGTGTGGGTTTATTTTTGCTTTTGGTCCTGTATATTGCCATGCTGAATTTACAACAACACATAACAGTACGTCGGCAGCAGCTATATAATGTGTCAAGTTAAACTTACCTGACAATATATGTGTTGTTCCCTTGTGTTTTTGTTGAAAAGAGAATAGTATATGTCTGAGGGACATGTTTTTGTTTTAGGAGAGAGATTTGAGTCTTTTGCAACTGCACTGTGTGTACTCCCGAGTCTCTTGCAACTGTGATGTACAGCGTAGTTATATATTTCTTTTTTGAGAGGTTAGTACTCCTTCCGTCCTGAAAAGTATGTAGAAGACTACAATTCTAGCATAGTAGCTACTCAAGCCATTCTGAATTCAAAGTTTCTATATTAAAAGTATCAATATTTATGATAACAAAAAAGTGCCTATTAGATTTTTTTTATCGTATATGCATATTTTGTGTAATAAATAATAAATATTGGTAGTTTTTTTCCCTGAAAGAAATATAAATTGGTTTAATTTTTAGATAAAAAAAATAGAGCTAGAATTGTACGGTATCTATTTCGGACAGAGAAACGGTGTGCACTGCATCTGAATTCTGAACAGGACGGCGGCGTGCGCTGCATATTATCTGATCGGACGGCTCCGGCTCTCACACACATGGACAGTCCATGACAGCAGCCGCGGCGTCAGGGAATGCCTCGCCGGTCGCCGGTCGCGCTATAGAGACATGTTCGGCCGGTATTAAAGCGAATGATAAGTTGATCTTGGTTGATTTATTATAAGAGAAAAATACCGTAGATTGTAGCTGATAAGTTGGCTGATAAGGAGTGAACAGACGTAGTGCAGTCTGCAGAACAGGTCTTGAGCCTCTTGTCTTCTTCATGGGTGCAGTCTGCAATGTTTTACAACAACAGGTCTTAATATTTTTTATTTATATTAAGAGAGATTATATAAAATTCTTGTCTTCATATATTCATCCATAATATAATTATGGTACACAACTAGATAATAAAATTATCGCGAATGAAAAAGACCGAGCCAAGCCCCTAAGTATAAGACGGTCACTTACCTGAGGGAGCCAAACTGAGTTGGAGGAGTTGAGAGTTGCAGTGCAGTGCATGGTTGTTTGTATTCTGGATCCTGGAGGTTGACGACCGGCCCAGCCCATCCATCAGCTCCCTATAACTAGGAAGGGCCCTCCTGTGCCTGTCGACAGACGATTCGATACCGTGGCTCGATCACGTGGAGAGGAGCCATGTTGGCTTATAAGTCATATTTTTTTAGTCTACAAACAGTATTTTTCTTTCACAACAAATTAATCAACAATACTTTTAGTCATAGCTTATCAATCAAACGAACAGGACCGAGAGCTGCAACAGGTGGGACGGTGGGAGCTCGCCAGCCTAACTAACGCCCAACCCCAGCTAAGCTAGTGGAGGAGCTGAGAGCAGATAGGAGATGGATGATGATCGTGGTCGATCATGAGAGTTGAGTTGCATTGAGAGGGAGGAGGATGGATTCACGGGCGGCCAAGGGGAAAGGAAGGCGCCAAACAAGGGAGCAGCACCCGTGTCCGTGTGCGTGTGTGGTGCGAGTCCGAAGCAGCGAGCGTGCTCACGGGTCACCCCAGCCAAAACAGATGACGACACATTACAGCGAGGCAGCTAGCAGCAATACGCATGCATACACCGCACAGCAGCCAGTGCAGTACTACTAGTGGTAGATTTCGTTTTCCATAGGATAGACTAGTAGTTGGATGGAGTTTTTGAGACGGCGACTGCCGACTCTCCCTGGCCACGAATTCTGATCCCTAACTTGGTGCGCGCCATGCCCATCATCCCATGTCCCCCGGCAGCAGAAGTTTCCAGAACGAGTACGTAATGTAACACGGACTCCGTCTCTACTCCATGTAGATAGAGATAGATATTTGTACATACATGCATACGTACAGTATGTAAACGTAACAAGTGCTTTTATATATTATTATTATTATTACTTTACTTGCTGTATGTAAAATGCATGCATGGTGGATGGATGGGAGACGGAGTACATACCATCATACCGGCCGGCCGGGGCAAAGGCATGCATGTGATACAATACAGTGATGAGTACTACCAACCAGAAACTGGTAACGAACGGAACGGACAACTAATGAACCACAAAAACAAAAAAAAAAGGAAGTCAGCCAGGCCAGGCCAGTACCACCAGGCACCAGGCTGCAGCCTGCTCTCAGCTCGTCCCTCCCTTCACCAGTTCACCAGCCTGTACACGGACCACCGGCCGCCCTTGTCTTTTTCTTTTCTTTTCTCCTCTTCCCGTCCCTTGCTAGATGCAACGGAGTACTACTTTGTTACTCATACGTGCACGTACGTACATGTACATGGGGGGAAAAAATAACACAAGTACAACAACAATGGAATTAATGGAATATAAAAGGATGGATCGGAAGAGATAATTAACGGCATACACAATGGATACCTCTGAGACATTTTGTTGTTATAGCTCCTGACAGTACGTACCATCACAAGATGGGAAATCCTAGCTACAAAACCATAATAATTATCAATGAACCAGAATGATAATTAAAACTTGAATATAATCGACCAAATAATTAAGTTTGGAACTGAGAATATACGCAGCTGGCCGGCCTCAGATACCATCTCAACATTAGAACATGATTTATCAATGTAGGTATGAACAATATGAAATTGAGAACAAATCACATCTTCACTCTCACTGTCCTTAAAACCAACAAATTCATCTTCACTAGGTGCGTCAACAATTCGACTGACTTTACAAAAAAAAAAGAGATAATCATAAAGCAATGGACAACAAAAATAAAACGTACAAGTACAATGATCACAAAGGAAGAATTAAAGTGCAGGAGAAAAAAAAAAGCGAAATACCATGATTAAGAGTACCAACAAAAACCACTACATAGTACTACGATTACTATTATTAGTAGTAGTAACGAGAGATAATCGATGATCCTTACATTGGGTTGCTAGCTACTACTACTTGCTTGCCCCAGCCGCTGCCAGCCAATCTTAATCAAGACAAGGAAGAATCGATCTGCAACTGCTGGAGTGTATATATATATATATATATATATATATATATATATATATATATATATATATATATATATATATATATATATATATATAGAAGAAGAATTACTCGTATTGCTCCTACTGTATGTATAAGTGTATATGTATGTGCTCCTATATAATATAGGAGTTGCACGCGCTCGTTAGTGTCCTAGCTCAGCTCAGCTCAGCTCCTTCCTTCCACTCCACGGCTGGGGAGCCACACCACACGCTCACTCTACAGTCTCCAAGCTCACCACCCGCCATTGCTAGCTTCTCTAGCTGAGACGCATGCACATACCGAGCGCAAGCCATGCCACGCCCAGTTTAAAGTAAGGCAGCCGCCGCCTAGCTCATCATCAGCGCCAATTAAGGATCCAGGAAGACAAACCACCGTATTACATACCGTCATCATCCGCAGCAGCGAGCAATGCCGAAGAATTCCTGCGCCGGCGGCTGCGAGATCCAAGCCAGCGGCATCAACTACCGCATCACCGTCTCCAGCCGACCACACCCTCCTCTCAAGGTCTGGAGCAGGTCAGACGACGACGTCCATGTCCAAGACCACCAGGACCACCACCACCACCACAGCGTCCGCCATGTGCTCAGGGACGTCTCCTGCCGCGCGCGCCCCGGCGAGCTGCTCGCCATCGTTGGCCCCAGCGGCGCCGGCAAGTCCACCCTGCTCGAGATCCTCGCTGGCCGCCTCTCCCCGTCCCCGCAGTACGACCTCCTCCTCCTCGACGGCGCCGCCGCCCACAGCGCCGACCTCCGCCGCGTCTCCGGCTACGTCACCCAACAGGACGTACTCTTCCCGCTGCTCACCGTGCGCGAGACGCTGCTCTTCAGCGCGCGCCTCCGCCTAGGCGCGCGCCTGCCGGCAAAGGACATGGACGCCCGCGTCGAGGCGCTCCTCGACGACCTCACCCTGCGCCGCGTCGCCGCCACCAGGATCAAGGACCTCTCCGGCGGAGAGCGAAGGCGCGTCTCCATCGGCGTCGAGGCCGTGCATGACCCGCCCGTGCTCATCCTCGACGAGCCCACCTCCGGCCTCGACAGCGCCTCCGCGCTCCAGATCGTCGGCGCTCTCCGCGCCATGGCCGAGACGCGCGGACGCACCGTGCTGCTCAGCATCCACCAGCCGGGAGCGCGCATCGTCAAGATGTTCGACTCCGTCCTCCTGCTAGCCGCCGGCTGCGTCCTCCACCAGGGCACCGTCGACCAGCTCCGCGCCCTGCTCGGGGACGCGGGCCTCCACCTGCCCCCGCACGTGGACGCCGTCGAGTTCGCCATCGACTCCGTCGACGCGCTCCGCCTCCACCGCCGCCACGCCAGCGCCGCCGGGCTGCAGGCGCCGCCTCGCCAGCCCCAGCACCAGCAGCCGTCCTCCCGGGAGCGGGAGGGCCGCTGCACGCTGCAGCATCTGTTCCAGCTGCACGGCAAGCAGGTGGCCGACGAGGACACCGCCGCCGTCGTCCCCGTGATGGCTAGCAGCGCGGCCGCCACGGCGGGCAGCCGGTACGCCAACTCGCGGGCGCGCGAGGTCGCGGTGCTGTCCCAGCGCTTCTTCAAGAACGTGGCGCGGACGCGGCAGCTCTTCGCGTGCCGCACCGTGTGCATGCTGGTGGCGGGGCTTGCGCTGGGCTCCATCTTCTACGACCTCGGCGAGGACAAGGTGGCGGAGCGCGTGGGCCTCTTCGCCTTCCTGCTCACCTTCCTCCTGTCGTCCACCACGGAGGCGCTGCCCATCTTCCTGCAGGAGCGCGACATCCTGGCCAAGGAGACGTCGTCGGGGGCGTACCGGGTGTCGTCGTACGCGGTGGCCAACGCGGTGGTGTTCCTGCCCTTCCAGCTGGCGCTGGCCGTCGTGTTCGCGGCGCCCGTGTACTGGCTGGCGGGTCTCCGTCGCACGGCGGCGGCGTTCGGCTACTTCCTGCTGGTGATATGGCTGATCCTGTACACGGCGAACTCGGTGGTGGTGTGCTTCGCGGCGGCGGCGCCGGACTTCGTGGTGGGGAACGCGGCGATCCAGGGAGTGATGGGCTCCTTCTTCCTCTTCTCGGGCTACTTCATCGCGCGGTCGGCGATGCCGGCGTGCTGGGTGTTCATGCACTACCTATCGCTGTTCAAGTGGCCGTTCGAGGCGCTGCTGGTGAACGAGTTCGCCGGCGGCGGAAGGTGCGTGGTGCGGGCGCTGGGCCAGTGTGTGGCGACTGGGGACGAGGTGCTGCGGCGCGAGGGGCTCGGGGAAGAGTGCAGGTGGCGCAATGTCGGCGTCATGGTGGCCTTCACGGCGGCCTACAGGGTGTTGGGCTACGCCGTGCTGAGGGTGAGGTGCAGCCTCGCGCTCAACAAGGGGGCCGTGGCCGCCGGACCACCCAGCCTCGGCCTCAGCCGCCGCCTGAGAAGCCAGCTAGCCATCATCGGCGCTGCTGCGTGGCCCTCGCCGTCTTCTTCTTCCACCCCGCCGCCGTGACTGTGACTCGCCCTCCTCCTCGCTCCCATGCCAAGCAAATACGTGTGCTTACTTGTTTTAGCTGCCCTGTTTTCCCACGAGCATCCTTTTGCTCAGTGATTCCTACAGAGTAAATACTTACCCCTTTTGCCAAGTTAGCCGTCGAAATTCTCCCCAACCATTTTAAAAAATTTCTTATAGAAAATATTAGCAACATTTATATCTTCAAATAAGTTTATTATAAAACTAGATTCAACTATCTATCTAATGATACTAATTATGTAAAGATCTTAACCCAATACTCAAATATGACATTTGCTCAATTTCCAAGGTATTAATTAGATTCCACAATTGCAATATCCATCAGTTTAATAATGTGTTGTTAGCATCAAATGCTATTCCGGCCCAATCGACTAGTTATAACGTGCCATGGGCAATTTCATGGTGATTTTGTTTGATTAGTTGTGTTTGTTGGTAGTGATCGAGTTGGCTGCTCGCCGTGCCGTACATGCCGGGCAATTTGAGCCGCCACTAGCAAGCAGCTGGACTTGAGATTTGATCAAACAAAGTTAATCCATTCCGTATATCCGATTCAAAGAAAGGAGGCGGTCTTACTTGGCAATTGCCATGGCCTGCTGTACGGTACGTGCTGGATTTCCATTGTTACCAGACGACTCGATCAACCAACCAATCAATCAATCTGCGTTGAGTAACAGGTAGTACATACATACGTACAAGAGTACAAGTAAAGGCATGAGGCTAGTAAAGTTTCGCAAGCCGGCTCTCCTCCTCCCTTCACCTTCGCAAGCCCAATCTCATTCACATCAGAAACCCATGAGGACGCACTCCACTTCGACTACGAATCCTGGATCCAACAATCCAAGATCGCCAACTGCTACTCTAATAAGCGGTCGTGGATGGATGACGCAGAGGCAGAGGTGATCAACAGGCACCACCAGGAGATGATGCTTCAAGTGGCGGACAATCTGCCCGAGGAAGCCTATGAACTGTCGCTGCGAGACATCACCGAGCTCTCACTGCCTCCTCCAACTAGGGCCACAACCACAAGGAGTTTGCCCTGCCGGCACAAGAGTACTCCCTCTATCTCTATGGAGGGAGCAGGCAGCTTCATCATTAAGCTCTTTATGCCCTCGCCATCCAGAGCTGCTGCTTCTGGTGGTGGGAGGAACAAGAGCTTCTCCAGTAGCTCAATGACTGTATCTGTATCTGGGAGGAGCAAGAGTGCGTCAGCCAACCATGGTCGTTCTCGTTCCATGGAAAATGACACACACAGTAATGGCTACCACGGCAGTACTAAAAGGTAGTATGTTCCATTCCAGGGTTGAATCAAGCTGCATTCTCTCACCTTCTATTCTTGACCAACAAAAATCATGGCCACCATATTCTTGTCTAACTAACCATCTGTTCATTCCATCAGAAACAATACATGCATAATATAATAACACAACCGGGGGAATGCCTTACCTGCACACGTTAAAAAAAAGGGGGAAACACAATCTTTTTCATCTTTATAAGCATAATAAGCAGCTGATATACAAATTTGCATGAAACCAATGAGCTGCTATCCATTCTTCAATTCAAGCAAGTACAAGGCGCAACACAAATTTACAGGAAATCAATGAGCTGCAATCCACTCCTCATTTCATGCAAGTGCAGGACGAAACACAAATTTGCAGGACATCAATGAGCTGCAATCCACTCTTCAATTCAAGGCAAAACTGACAGCCAATGGACACTTCTGCCTGTAGGAAACTTGAGGCTAAGGATCAATCAATAGGGAGGGGTGCCTGTACATGACCTTCATTTGTACAGTAGTTCAAAGTTACATTCCTTTCATAGCTGTGCCAAGTTGCTAATATAACATGGCAAAACGGCTGCTCAACTTGTTCATGCTGCAGGATACGTGGAGTGTTATGTAAATAAGTTATGTATGCTATTTTTTATTTTCAATAAAGTTCATCATCAACAATACGCGATTTCAATTAAAAAAATAGAAGATAACTTTACTGAAACAGCTATAGATGCGTATTGATAAGCACCCTAAGCTCATCCAGAGCAAACAGACGAGTTCAAAAGACACATTATGCTAGGGGAACAATCCTTTCTTTTAGGAACTTAGTCTCATACCTTTTCTACACCATGAGCTGCATGTACTTTAATTCCACAAGTTTGACATAAGTCAAGCGGCCACAGCCACAAAACTAAGTCTCACCTAATGAATGTAATAGGTTTACATGCCAAAGAGTCAATCATCGCCGATAAGTCAGCAATATCTAACTATTATCATCATCATCATTTTCTTCAGTATCTTGCAGCAAAGCTCCTCGTACTCTTGCCCTCATAAAAGAATAACAGAAAACATCAGTACCAGCAGGATATCAGATATGAATTTAACTTCAACTCACATAAAAGTAGTCTTTCAATGGTTGTGTACAACCTCCGAGACACAGGGGCCAATCGCTTCGTAGCTTTAGCAGGAGGAACTTTGATAGGCAAAGCCACTGCAGGTTTGCAAATCCATAAGCTGACACAGTTTTGATTCTTTCTTACTTACAAGTATGCATCAAGAAGAAGCCATGTAGTTTACAAAAAAAAGGCCATGTAACCTGGTGTTTGCTGCTGCGCAGGAACAATTGATCAGAGCTTGGAGGTGCACCCGATACACTTGGAACCTGATCAGTCACCAGCTTTGGCTTTGTAGCCTTTCTTTTGTCGAGGAATGAAAGGGCTTCAAGTTGCTTTTGCATTACTTCGTTTTTTTCCTTTTTCCTGTAAAATACAACAGTAAATGCAACCAGGGGCTAGAAACATCACCGTAATGCATTCTAAATACCCAAATATTGAACCAAGAAAACTGCACAGGAATGAAGTGCTTTGCTGTATTAGATCACAATGAAACCCAATGGTTCTCTCAAAAGTGAGAAAAAGGAAATGATATCTAATAGTATGTTATAACGCTAGCTAACACATGAAACCAACGTGTTGGAACTTAATTTCATGACTCAGAAGCATTTTACTAAAAGAATGGAGCACTGAATATAAGCATTATATACATTATAAACAACCAGGCGCTAGTTTTTAGGCTGCCAAAAACTGCTTTAACATGCTATATATGGCAACCCAGAGTAGAATGCAAAATTGCTTGACATTCTGACAGGCAAATATGTACGTCAAACGAGTAAGCTATCTTAAGACAGTGTGTACCCAACTTTGTTCATCAAGCAGCAGCATAAGCAAGAGCACCAGTACCAAGTTCGTACTAATAGTAATGGTGGGATAACCTACTCTTTCAGAGGCTAGACTTTGCATGAGCTGTGAGACTTGGTCTTGTTCTGCAAAAGAAGGAAAACAGAATTTGGCACAAAGATGATAAATAAATTAAAATTTCCTTGTTGCGGTTAAGAATGAAGATATTGAAAAAGAAACAATTATAGGAATAAAGAAGAATAAGCAACAAGCCAAAAGAACCACCTCTGGATGCATGTTCCTGCTTGGTCTTGTAAGATTCATAGAGCGCAAGGGAGAAATCAGCAATGACATCTTTGAGCACAGATGCAGCAACTCTATCGAGAGAGATAGTGATGCGAGGTAGTCCCTTCGCCTTGGTAACCACAAGCTCAGCGGTATCAGGACTTGCATACGACATCATGTTCGTGTAGAGGTAGGCGAAGACTTTCAGGTTCAGGCGTTCAGCCAGGCAGGGTAGTGAAGTGTAGGAGTAGGATGGAGAAGATATGAACTGAATACCTCGGGCGGCGGCAGGGAAGAGGAGTTGTGCCAGGCGAGGAGTGGAGGTCGGTGGCGACGACGCGGAGGCCGCCATGGGAGTGGGAGTGGGCGCGGGAGAGCATCGGCTTCGTTGTCGGATTTCTCCGGCTTGGCCTCGCCGAAGACGGCGGCCAACCTCATCTCATCGTCATCGTCGCCGGCAGGAACGAAGGAGAGAAGGCGCCGTGAAAGCGTAAAGACGTGGGGACGCCTCTCCCCCTGTCCCTCTAACTCCCTGTCGTCTCTTTCTCGCTTTGGTCCTCTTCCTCAATTCCGGTGGGAAGGAACGATGGCCTCCGACTACTACGATTCCAAGTTGTTGGAGACGGCGAGGCGGCTGCTGGAGGTGACCTCCATAACTGAGGCAGAGGCGGAGGCGGAGCAGCTGCCCAGATTGCCCTCGGGGTTCTACGACGCCTTCGTCCTCGGGGGAATCCTCGTCGTCCAGGCCCTCCAGCCCGGCACACTCCTCTGCCATTTCACCGTCCCCTCCAGACTACTGGTCAGCCACCTTGCCCGAGTCGAGTTGTGTCATCTGATTCCTGATCCCTTAGACTGAATGGTTCTCGATGCAGAATTCGGGCGGCTTCCTGCACGGCGGTGCAACCGCCTCCCTAGTCGATTTGGTTGCCTCCGCCGCCTTCGCCACCGCCGGTCTCCGCACCAGGGGCTCGCCCCTTGAGATGAACATATCCTACCTTGATGCTGCTTTTGCTGATGTGAGTAACCTTGATCCATGCTCTGCTCCCCATCTTTAGTGACTACTGTTGCTGCTGCTACTACATACTAGTACTACAGTATAAGACGCAGCATAATATGTATGCCATCTATGATCTATACGACCATACTTGGTTCATTGGTTGCACACTCTTGAAGGAATTTTCACTCCTCCACAAATTACTACGATGTAGTATAGGATAAGTGGCTGACACTTGAGACTTGACAAATTACCCGATTGGTATAATTGGCTGCAACAAGATGAACACAGCACAAGAGGCTCATCTAATCTTTGATGAAACGAGACACGTGCCTCGTCCTGCCGGTTAGCCAGTGAGCCTAATAGCATGCTCTGGCATTCACACTTTGGTAGGCGATGCCGATGAATAAGCAGGATTGTGTTATGTACCAATGTCATCACACCATTGTGATTTGGGAATAAGCACGTTTGCCGGTTTCTCTTATATTGGCAGCATGATGATTATCATGAGATGGGTGGATTCAAACATTTCTGTTACGAATCGTCATTGTATGTGTAATCATGATCGCACCTCCTCGATTCACAGCTTCATAGTAGCAGTGTTCTAGTGCTAAAGCCAGATTGTGTCAGGTTGTTTCCCTTTTACCTCTTTCGATTGGTATGTAGACGATGAGCAAGCCAGATTATTAATTGAGTAAATAATCGGTCTTCACTTCTGAAGTTGATTTGCTATGGATGATGATGATGGTGTTTTCGGATTTAGGGACTGATGCTGACACTGACAGGCATGAGATGCTTGGTTTCGTGTAGGAAGAGATTGATATCGAAGCGAAGGTTCTGCGCGCTGGCAAGGTAGTAGGGGTGGCTGTTGTGGAACTGAAGAAGGAATCTGGCAAAATCATCGCTCAAGCTCGCTACTCCAAGTACCTTGGTGTAGCATATAGTAAACTCTGATCTGACTGAATCAAGGTGGCCTTGTGCCGTGGCAGCATGTTGTAATCTGCTGGGTTTTTTTTTCTTCTTCCCTACTGGTGCTTATATTCTCACGATGCTGGTCCCCTGACTCCCTGAGCATATGGTATGGTAGTAGACTAGTAGGGTGTGGGGTGCTTGGACAAGTGTTACTCCTGTGTATATGTGACAGAAAACAACCTCATTTCTATTTCTTTCTGCCGTGCAGATGGTATTCAGTATTATTACTCACTCGATGAGACCATCAGCTAGTTATTTATTCTTGTGTTTATTGTGTATGTACTCCTACCTCTTACAGTGGACCATCTGTTATCTCTTCTGATCCACCAGAAATGAAGGTGAATCATCGTTAGCCTGCTGGCTGCACAAACATCTCTTCTGTTTTGGCAACTGCTGACTGACTACACAAACTAATAAATCAATAATAACCCGGCCAAATCAAATCAAATCTGGACAGGACAGTAGACACAAATTTGGCCATGATTCAGTAGACACCACGATTGAAACAGATAGCATGTTCGGTTTGCTGGTTCGTTTCGTTGCTGGTTCGTGAAGAAGTACTGTGGTTTGTGTGAGAGAAAAATACTGTTCCGGTTGAAAATTTACGATCGTTTACGACAAGCCACAGCTAAACGAACAGGCTGAATTTCGCTGGAGGTTTAATTTCAATTTACTTTTGGAAAAGAAAAAACGAGGAAAAAGGGGAAAAGGAAAAGCAAGGAACTTTAGGACTGGAGTGGAAAGAGGAAAAGCCATCTCCTCTCGCCGGCTCGCCGCGGCCGCGCCACCAGACCGACCACCGGCCGGCTTCCCCCGCCCCCCGGCGAGGAGAGGAGACAAGCCGACAAGGCAAAGTACGGTACCCAACCGCCGCCCAGCCGCACCTCCAAGGATAGGGCGGGAGAGGGGGATCTCGCTTTCACTTCGTTGCCGCATGCGCACCGCCCCTCCTCATGACACCACCTAGGGGCTAGGGCACCGCCAGCCCCCTTCTCGTCGTCCTCCCCGCGGTAACTCTGGTGAACATCATAGCCTCATCGGGCCCGCCCTATGGATGTAACTTCGACCACTGCCGCCTCCGCCTCCGCCTCAGGCGGGGGGAGGTGGTACACGGGCATGTCGGCGGATAACATCAAGGGCCTGGTGCTCGCGCTCTCCTCCAGCCTCTTCATCGGCGCCAGCTTCATCATCAAGAAGAAGGGACTCAAGAAGGCCGCATCCTCCGGCGTCAGGGCGGGTACGCTTTCTCTTTTCCCCTCCCCTGTTCGTACGCCGTGCGCTTGCCTGCTTCTTCAATGCGTCACGGAGAATTGCCCAATTGTCTTCACTCTGTTCTTCACCATAGAACGGATGCCAGATTCATTCTCCTGACGCCCATTCCCGAGTTAACATGTTTGACCTCATTACCTATATGAACTGAACTCAGCCCATACATGCCTGACTCGTTAATCGACATTGATATCTAGAACTATTGTTGATGAAAGCATATTTCATTTTCAATATTTTTCATGTTATATGTTTATGTAACAGCTGCAGTTGGAGTTCAACTGCTTCAATGGTTAACTGACTAAAGCTTACTGAATTTGTGCTACTCCAAAATATCACACCTTTCCCTAGCAAACTACTTTGTTGGTTAAGTGTTGCATTGCATTGCAGGTAAGTAATGTGTGATCTGACTTAAAAATTTCAGTGTCTGATACTCACGTACATGACACCTCTGACTTATGCCCAAAATCGAGAAGACTTATGTCATGTTGTATCTCCAACCCCCCCTCCTCCTCCTCCTACAGGAGTTTGTATCGCAATTTTCAACCTCATTTTGTACTCTTTCCCTGAGGTGTCTGTCTATGTCACTTATACTACCAAACTGCAGTATTAATGTTCCATTGTTATGACAGGGGTTGGTGGTTATTCTTATTTATATGAGCCTCTTTGGTGGATTGGCATGATAACAAGTAAGTGCTTGCCTCTTCTTTTTCTTCTGTTTCATTCTAATAGATAATAGATAGATAGCTTATTGACATACTCTCTTTTGGGAAATTCTTTGGCAGTGATTGTTGGAGAAGTTGCAAATTTCGCAGCCTATGCATTTGCTCCGGCTATTTTGGTCACTCCTCTTGGTGCTCTTAGCATTATTATCAGGCATGAGTTCTCAGTCATGGAACTGTACGCATTGCCTTACTGCAACCTTTTGTTCATTTTATCACTAATCTGGAGCTAGCTTCTGTTCTGCAGCGCTGTGCTTGCACATGTAATGCTGCGGGAGAAGCTGCACATATTCGGAATTCTTGGATGTGTCCTATGTGTTGTGGGATCCACCACAATAGTCCTTCATGCTCCACCAGAGCGTGAAATTGAGTCGGTGACAGAAGTGTGGGATCTGGCTACGGAACCAGGTATTTGCTATTGCCCATTGCTTTGTATCTGCTTAATTGCCTACATTTTTCTTGAATAATTACACCACACTACCAAGTCATGATCACTTGATGTTGTTTTTCAGCCTTCATGTGTTATGCAGCAGTGGTAATTGCTATAGCTGCCATACTTGTTTATCGGTTTGTCCCACTTTTTGGGCAGACACATGTCATGGTCTACATAGGTGTTTGCTCTCTTGTTGGTTCCATCTCGGTATGCATTCTTTTGATATAGCATGCGTTTATGATCTCCTGTTGTGTGTTTTATTACAAAGTCGTTGGCCTAACTATGCAGGTCATGAGCGTGAAAGCTCTCGGCATAGCATTGAAGCTGACCTTTTCAGGAACGAACCAGCTTATATACCCACAGACATGGGCTTTTACTCTGGTTGTCATCTCATGTATCATTACCCAAATGAATTACTTGAACAAGGTATTCTGATTTTTTGAAAGCGAAATTAAAGTCTTCCCTGTGTTCTTGGATTAATTCCTTCGTATAATCTTATCTTCTGGAATTCCTTTCCTGTATAGACATTGTACAGTTATTTTCTTCTTTTCTCCTTGCCTGTATTCTGATTTTTGAAACCCCTGCTGTTTTTGCCAAAAAAGGTATTTTGATTTCTACTATCTGAACCAATTGTTGTCTTCTTTCCTTGATCTAGCATAGCATCATAATACAAGGGTGACTAGGATTCTAGAAGTTAACTGGACGAAAAAAAGGAGATTGGCATAAGGGCATATGACTCATTCATTTATTTATCTTGTTATTTTCTAGTCCAGCAGGACTAGTAGTCCCCAGATGTTGGGAACTGCGATAGATTTGATACCTTAGGGAAATGAAGTGTGAATTTTCTGGTAAAATTGGTGATATGATTGGATGGTTAAAGCTTTAGTTAGCACTATATAGAGCCAAGTTCAATTCATTAACAACGACATCAGCCTTGCCTGACCAATGAAGCATTATATTTTCCTAAAACAAATGGTGATGGTGATTCCTTTTCCTCCTTGTACGCAGGCACTTGACACGTTTAATACAGCAGTTGTGTCACCCATTTATTATACCATGTTCACATCTTTAACTATCTTGGCAAGTGTCATCATGTTCAAGGTATGTGTTTCAATTGCTGTAGCTTATCTTTTCAGCTTCATGCTTTGGTTGTGAAATTTGAGCAGGGCACTAGATAGTGATTCAGCCAGTGTTCCTATCCAATTTCAAATATAAATTTATGAGTTTTCCTCGGATTGCATTAAAGTAAACTATATAAGAAATGGTACGAGCCTGAGCTTCAGGCATAGCCTGTGAATACTTCTGGAGTAGATAGAACTCAGCAGACGAGACCACTTAGTTCCATTTTGTATCTGTGTGCAGGACTGGGACAGGCAAAATCCTACACAAATTGTGACTGAGATGTGTGGCTTTGTTACGATCCTTTCTGGAACTTTTCTTCTACATAAAACAAAAGACTTGGCTGATGGTGGTACGAATTTCTCATCATACCAACTTTTCTATGTTCCTTCCTTTGTGGGTTACATGTTCTGAGATTATTATTTTTCATGTGTCAATGTAGGGCTTTCGACTTCATCCTCCTTCCGTCTTCCTACATCTTCTTCAGTGCGGTTCTCAAAGCAAACAGACGAAGACGGTGAAGGAATTCCTCTAAGATCGTCCGAATCATTCCGGTCACCACATTAATGCCTGTTTGCTAATCATTAATTTGCACGAGTTAGGGGGTGGGTATATATAGGGTTATATATAGATAATATCCCGGGAATGAGCACAAAACTTCCAAAGTAGATAAATAATCCACTAATGATCGATACTAAGGGTACTGAATATCCATGAGCTTGTACTAAGGGTACGATATAGGGACCCTCTTTTGCTTTGTTTTTTTTTCCTTGGCAGATTTGTATGTATGCCCAACATCTTGTCGAACTCAATATATATTTTCTCAGTGGTTAGCACTCGAGTGGAAATCTGTTGCTAGTGTTGCTATGCGGTCTGGTGGAATTTATCACCATGTTTTTTTTATAGGAATTATCAGCATGTTTCTACTGTACCTAGTACCTACATTAGTGGTCTCAGCTCTTGCACTGTGCTAAAGCTAGAACCGTACGTTGGCAGTCCTGATGGAAGGAAACGCCCAATTTGTTGAGGGGCATCATTTGTTCGAATAAAGCGTGTTAAAGACGCGTAATTTATGGCTTCTGCGGCATGCAAACAGGCAATGGCAGGAGCAACACAGCAGCAGCAGCAGCAGCAACGTAGCCTTTTAGTCTCAAGCAAAGCAAGTTAGGATAGGTTATAATGGAAATCCACCAAGAGCCTCAAGTCACGTTTCAGGTATTTCAATAATTGTTTTCAAGTACTCCTATTTAAATATAGATTTCTAGATATAGCCTAAGCTTTCAAATATCTTTTTATTGCCCTTATATCAATTTCGTTCTTCCTCTGTCTCTTCTTATATTATTAGCTTGGCTTAGGACTCCACAATGCACTGGTGCCTCTAGAGGTCTCCTTTGGACATGGCCAAACCACCTCAACCGATGTTGGACAAGTTTTTCTTCAATTGGTGCTACCTCTAGGCGATCACGTATATCATCGTTTTGAACTCAGTCTATTCTTGTGTGACCGCAAATCCATCGCAACATGCGTATTTCTGCAACACTCAGTTGTTGAACATGTCGAATTTTTGTAGGCCAACATTCTATTCCATACAACATAGCCGGTCTAATCGCCGTTCTATAGAACTTGCATTTTAGCTTTTGTGGTACCCTCTTGTCACAGAGAATACCAGAAGCCCGTCGCCACTTGATCCACCCTGCTTTGATTCTATGGCTAACGTCCGCATCAATATCTCTATCCCTCTATAGCATCGATCCAAGATACCGAAAGGTATCCTTCTTAGACACTACTTGACCTTCCAAACTCACATCTCCCTCCTCCTGTACAACTTCGCCAAAGTCGCATCTTATGTATTCGGTTTTAGTTCTGCTCAATCTAAAACCGTTAGACTCAAAGATGTGCCGCCATAACTCTAGTTTCATATTTACTCCCGCCTGGCTTTCGTCCACTAACACTACATCATCAGCGAACAACATACACCAAGGGATATCCCCTTGTATGTTCCTGGTAACCTCATCCATTACCAAGGCAAAGAGATACAGGCTTAAGACTGACCCTTGATGAAATTCAATTTTAATTGGAAAGTAATATGTGTTACCATCGTTTGTTCGAACACTAGTCACAACATTGTTGTACATGTCCTTGATGAAGGTCGCATACTTTGATGGGACTTTATGTTTGTCCAAAGACCACCAAATAACATTTTTTGATATCTTGTCATAAGCCTTCTCCAAGTCGATGAAAAACAAATGGAGGTTCTTCTTCTGCTCTTTAAACCGTTCCATAACCTGTCTTATTAGAAAGATTGCTTTTGTAGTTGACCTTTCGGGTATAAAACCAAATTGGTTTGTTGATATCTGCGTCGTTCCTCGCAAGCGCTGCTCGATGACTCTCTCCCATAACTTCATAGTGTGGCTCATCAACTTAATTCTCTGATAATTAGTACAGCTTTGGATATCTCCCTTGTTCTTGTAGATTGGTACCAACATGCTTCTTCTTCACTTCTCAGATATCTTGTTTGATCGAAATATATTGTTGAACATCTTGGTTAGTCATACTATAACTATATTCCCGAGACATCTCCACACCTTGATTGGGATACCATCAGGGCCCATCGCTTTGCTCCCTTTCATCCTTTTCAAGGCTTCTCTGACCTTCGATTCTTGAATCCTCCGCACAAAGCACATGTTAGTGTCATCAAACGAGTCGTCCAGCCGAATGGTGGTGTTCTCGTTCTCACCATTGAATAATTTATCAAAATACTCTTGCCATCTATATCTTATCTCATCCTCCTTCACCAAGAGTTGCTCCCTCACATCCTTTATACACTTGACTTGGTTGAAGTCCCTTGTCTTCCTATCGCGAGCCCTAGCCATCCAATAAATGTCCTTCTCTTCTTCCTTCGTACTCAAACGTCGGTAAAGGTCCTCATAGGCTTACCCCTTTGCCTCACTCACCGCTCGTTTTGCAGTCTTCTTTGCCACCTTATACTTCTCTATGTTGTTTGTACACCTGTCATGATACAAGCGCTTATAGCACTCCTTTTCCTTAATAGCCTTTTGCACATCTTCATTCCACCACCAAGTGTCTTTCGAGTCGCATCCGCTCCCTTTGATTACTCAAGCACCTCTGAAGCAATCTTCCGAACGCATGTTGCCATCTTCTCCCACATGATGTTTTCATCGTCTTCATCATTCTAAGGGCCCTCTTCAATGACATTTTTCTTAAAGACCTTTGATGCATCCCTTCTAATTTCCACCATTTCATTCTAGCAACCCTAACTTGTTTGTTCCCATGAGTTTGCACTAGAAAGCAGAAGTCAGCCACCACCAGCTTGTGTTGAAAGACCACACATTCTTCATGTATCACCTTACAGTCCACGCATGTTCGTTTATCCCTCCTTGTAAGGCCAAAGTCGATTTGACTAGAGTACTGGCCGCTACTAAAGATCACTAAATGGGACTGTCTCTTACGAAAGAAAGTGTTAGCCTCATGAAACCCATGTCTCTTACAGATCAAAAGCTATGGCGAAGTCTAATACTTCCTCTCCCTCCTGGTTTCTACTACCATATCCGCAACCCTCATGAACCGCCTCGAAACCTGGACTTGATGTACCTACATGGCCATTAAACTCACCTCTTATAAAGAGCTTCTCGCTACTAGGGACAGCTCTAACCAAACGATCTCTGTCTTTCCAGAAAAACCGCTTAGCACTCTCATCATGGCCTACTTGGGGGTATAAACACTAATTACATTTAAGACCATATCACTAATGACAAGTTTAACTAAGATGATCATATCCCTTTGCATTTTCACCTCCACCACACCATCCTTGAGGCTCTTATCAATCAAAACCTATACTCTATTTTTATTTGAAGTTGTGTCTGTGTACCAGAGCTTGGAGCCGGTATTGTCCACCTCCTTCGCCTTCTGCTCCTTCCATTTAGTCTCTTGGACGCATAAGATATTTACACGTCTCCTAACCGTTATGTCCACTAACTCTCTTAACTTACCTGTAAGGGACCCTACATTCCAGCTACCTAAACGGATCCTAGTTGGCTCAACTAGCTTTCTTACCCTTCGTACCCGTCGAGATAGGTGTGAAGACCCTTGCTCATTTTGCACCACCCGAGCGCCTATGTGGCGCGCCACTAAGGATGCGACGACCCGATCCTTACTCACTTGACACCGTATCCAGATCGCGACACACCACGTCATGGAAGGTGACGACCCGGCCCTTGCTCATTTAACACCATATCCGGGTTCCGACATGACGCGTCGCTCAGAGGGCTACGCCCCAACAGGATTCTTTTAGGTTTCATCTCCATTAAAGTGGCTAAGTTTTTACATTGACTCACCGCGCCTAACACAACCCTCCTTTACCTGGGCTTGTGACCTACTATGCTGGGACACCAAAGACGCCCCACCGTAGGCGGAGTTGTCACGAGCAACACATATTTACTGAAAAAAGCTCACAGTCTGGAACAAGAACACAATCATGTTCAAATTTCTGATGCAAATTGTGTTCGACATTTAGCGTCGCTAACGATAAGCTTCGTCACCTAAGGTAATCACAAGCTCAACACACGAACAGCCTGAGGCGGCCTGAGGGCTCGTGCCAACTGCGACTGCGAGCGGCAGAGGTAACCTCTAGTTCCCACGGGTGAGAGAAAGGCGATCATATACAACAACAGCGCTACAGCATTACTCGGAGGGCTAGTTCTGGCACAAGTAGACAAGATAGCAGCCTGGCTCCACCCTAGCACAACTCTCTAACTACGATTATGAGGCGACATCAGCTTCAGGAACATTGAGTGGAACCTCTTCACTTCAGTTACTGGAAAGAGGATCTTGTAAAGGACGTCATGTACCTTCCAACGATGTTGGCAATGGGAAGAGGCCCCCTGTAACCAAAAGCACCACAGATATATTACCACTATTAGTGCCCAGACAAATGGCAACAAAAAACAAGCTGTAAGTCAGCCATACAAGGACAAGTCAACTGTCAATAGGGAACAGCAAACGCTACTGTTCAATGTTCAACTCCAAGCAATTTGGAAATCACTCAGTATGGTGCTGATGCTTATATCAATCTATATCCAAACCCAATTGCCTCCAAAGCATGTACAGGAGAAAGACCTCACAGCTATAACGCTTAGCAAGAGATTTTCTCAATGACTGTAGTAGTTTGTAGTCTCAAGTCTCTAGCTGAATAATGAATTATATCTACTGCTATAGGGCTTGAGCTAGTGCAGAGGCGTAAGCGTATTTCTTACCAGGCACGAGAATCACAGCTGTTATTTCGGTTGTCACCCATGACGAATACATGACCTTCAGGAAGGCGCTGCAGGAGTATGAATACTTTCAGTTGAGGATCCAGGTACCCAGCCAATAAGGAAAGATGGAAGGAAGAGATCATCCACCATCTGAGGCCCATTGGTTACAACGAGGCACTCAAGAAGTCAACAACATGGAGCAGCCAGTCCACTTTTGATCATCTTCTTGTGGAGAATGAAAATTCTCTCGTCACGTCTGTTAACCATTTTGTTAACAGAAGTTTAAAATCTCTGGACCTGGCAATATCAACTCCTCAATGTTGTTCAAGGAGACAATGCTCACAGATTAGATATGCATGCACAAACCATTGCTTCCATTGTGTACAACGCATGGGTTGCTGTGTAATGCTCCTTCAGTGCAATACCATTTACAATAAGCTGCCCTTGTCGAACCTATAAACAGGTCAACGTAAGAGGATGCTGGGTGACTCCACTGTGTCTTGCTATGGCAAATGACCATACCGGAATAGAACAAATGTAGTGATGCAGTTTACCTCAATGAAATCTCCAGGTGTTGCCAATACTCTCTTAATAAAGACAACATCCTTATTGACACCATAATTCTGAAATTGGAAGCTGCACATTTTCAGGGTGGACAATGCGAGGATCTGATTGAGATGTGGAGGGGCAGAAGGAAGAAGGCAAACCTGTACGGCAGAAGGCACTTTGAAAAACACTATATCCCCAATAGATGGCCTCCGGAACAAGTATGTAACCTGGAAAATGGTATGGAGCCTGTTATTTAAGGTCAATGAATAACAATGTGATGATATTTGAAGCTGTCAGTTTAGTAAAGTTTCCTTTAATTTTTAGCCTACCTACTATGAAAAAAAGGGATTATGACCGAGTGAGAAGCAGTCAAAGAAAGCAGGAGGCTAGGACAGCAATTGAGACTTGTTAGGTTAATTTTTGTGCGGTCAGAATAAGATGCATTATTGTATCGGGAGCGTGGATCCAAGATTTTTGTTGGTCAAATGTGTGTGATGGTTCTTAGGCAGGCTAGTTACAGGTACTTGTGGTATCGGGCAGCGTGGATCTACTACCAACCTAAGTATCCATGTATATAGTGCTATAAGGAAGAACAGGATGAGTAACGCACGCATTGTCTTATTGTACTAGCAAATAAAAATAATGATCTTAATAAAGGAAAGGAAAATTAAAGTGAGTGAGGGGAGGGGGGATTGACCTTCTCGGCGACGGCTCGGTCGCCTGGGCGGAGCGTTGGCGCCATGGAGGAGGAGGCGATGTAGCGGACCTCGGCTAGAGCGGCGGAGAAGAGAAGCAGCACGAAGAGAAGCTTGAAGCCGTCGGATGCGGGCAGGCGGAGGCGCGGGAGCGAGGGGAGCCAGTGGTGCCAGGAGGCGAAGAGCTCGTGGCAAGGCAGCCAGGCGGCGGCTCCCCCCGCCGGCGAAACGAGGCCCCGCAGAAGGCCCCCCACGGCCATGGATGGTGCCCCCGCCCTGGAGAGGGGCGCGATGACTCCCTCTCCCTCTTTCACCGCACTGGCCGGACGGAGAGTCAATGCGCCGGTGGTGGTGTCTGGTGGCCTGGTGGTGGCTGGTGCAGAGAGAGAGAGAGAGAGGTCAGGTCAAATCCCGTGCTCTCTCACTGCCCTGTGCTCTTCTCTTGCCTTCTTGGAATCTTGGTTGCTTCCACTCGAAGACTGGCTCGCCCGGTCGGCCGGTCGCCGCCCCGTCTCTCAGCTCAAACTCCGAAGTCACAATCGGACCGACGGCGGTTTCGATTCGACAGAACAAAAAAGAGAGAGAGAGAGAGAGAGAGAAAACGGTCCGACCCATGTCTTTTGTCCAATGTACATGTCCTGCGATGTGGCCCGGCCCATCCAACTATCTAAAAACCTTGTGTTGGTCTCAGGCTTAATGCAGTTTCTGTTTATTATATTATCAAAAAAGAGAGAGAGAAGGAAAATAGAAAAGTGATGCCACAACAACGATACAACTATTAGTTTTGGGGGGGGCAGGGGGGGCGCGGGGAGGATGTCAACCAAATCTTAGTACTACTATGAGATATCATCCATCTACAAACCATTCGTCACCAAATCAAATGTACCAAAAATGCCGCTGCAACTCAACAGCAAACACTACAAGTAGTCAAGTACAACTCAATCAACACAGCTAAAAGGCAGAGTGCCACAGCTCCACACATAATACATCTGTTGCGCCTAATCTATACAAAGTTTCACACGAATCACAGGCACATCCCAGCCCAGCTTCACAGAATCACAGGTCTACATGCCGATGCTGGGATCCTTCTTCCTCCTGCTCTGCGAATGACTTGATATGAGGAGCATCAGGCTCGACTCCTCGCTGCGGTAGAGAAAGCCTCGAAATGATGAGCCGTGCCACATTCTCTGCTGCCACGGAGCCCGTCTCTATGGCGCTCGCGGCGCTCTCAAAGGTGTTCACGTAGTACAGCTGCTTCCCGTCCAACACTATCGGACCAAACTCTTCTGGGGCTTCCTCGCGCTGCTCTCCAACATACAACAACACATATTAACTTACCAACCTCATCTCATCTGGGCGACTAACTCAATATAATCAAACTGCTACGTACCTGAAGATCTGATCCAGTAAACCATCATCCAGCTTTGCACGTGAGAACATCTTGTAGGCCATGTCATCTTCGCTGTACCTCTTCAGAACTGAGATGCATGAGAAAGGGATATCAGGGAGCTCTAGGGTACCAATTAGCTCTGGAACATTTGATGCTGAGTTTACACCAAAATATCCCTGCAACCATAGATAGAATACATCAAAAGGCAAGTGCCTTGTCATCAGTAAGTCGCCCCAACCAAGGAAGCGTCAAAGAGGCTTTCATCAGTAACAAGTTCACAGGCTATCAGTTACTCGTCACTCGTTCATTTTGTTGTGTGTTGATGCTAGGATCTACAAAAGGAATGGCAATAGATAGGTAGGTATGCAGTATGCTACCATAACACTTACAGGGTTCAATAGGCCTCTGACAAAGGTGGCGTGTGTGTGCTGCATCTTCCTCGGCGGAATGGAGATTGGAGGGCTAAACGTGATGTTCACCTCGTCAAGTGGTGTTGCCACCACAGTCTGTATTCGCTCCCAGTATTAGATCTCAGAATATACAGCCTGTTCGGCTGGGGCTGAAACGATCGTATACGATCGTGGATTATTACTGCTGGCTGGTTTGGTGTGAGAGAAAAATACTGTTCTGGCTGGAAATTTACGATCGTTTATGACCAAGCGAACAGGCCGATAGTAATCCCCAGCATCAGTGATCGAGTCTATGCCTTCTTGAAGATGCAAGGTGGCATTAGAGGTCTTGAGCAATCCAGCAGCTAGCTGCCAGTTGCCCCCTTTGACAGCCCATAATCCTGACTCAGATCCAGCTAAAGACACGGCGCCAGCCAGGCCACTTATGTGTGTGCTTTGGCCATAGTTGATCCTCGTGATAACCTGTGAGGGAAAGAATACATTGATTATACTTATCAGAAAGAGATGATGCGATCTTTAGAAAAAAAGAAAGAGATGATGCGTTTTGGGGGGAAACTACATCAAATGGGATTTCACTGGTAAAAAACAGTACAGAGAGCATCTTCCAGAAGAAACCATGAGCCAATTAGTATCGTCACTGTCTAGTACCAAGGAAGTTAATTTAGCTCAAATTCCACTAAACCATGGAAGCATAGATGGCATATGGCTTGAGAGGAGGAAAGACAATACAGGGATTGAGGAGAAGCACACAGTGACAAGCTCTGCTATTGTTTGGGTGTTGAGGCCGGCATGGAGCAGCTCCTCCTCAAGGGTCCTGCGGGTGAGGCCATAGAGACCCGTCCATTGGAGCATCTCCTCAACCGTGGCAAAGACAGGGCGAGACTCCAAGCCGTTGTAGAAGAACATAAACCGTTGCAGCATTTCCTGCATTCAATATTTTAATTAATAGTAACTATAATAACTGATCAGCACACCGCACCAGGCTGACCAAGTGCAAACCTGTGCATCCTAGACACGAGTGGGGGAAGAATAATTACGGTAGAGAAGGAAGAATTAATCTGGACAGACTTGTCCATCTTGAGCAGGGACAGGCCATATCGCCTGAGCAGCAGCAGCGAGTTGAGGAGGCTGTGCAGCTTGCGACGCCACCAGGAGCTGCCGATCGGCGGTGGGCGGAGCGTCTGAAAGATGAAGCTTTTGCCGTCCCAGATCCCTAGACAGTCGTCGTCGCCGCCGACCTTGGCGGCGAGGCCCAGGAGGTCGGCGAAGTGGCGCGCGTGGAGGTTGCGGGGGCGGATGATGGAGCCCCTGGCCTCGAAGCTGTCGCCCGCGAGAGTGACGGTGCCGAGGCGGCCGCCCACCTTGTGACGGCGCTCGAAGACGCGCAGCTGCGCTCCAGCGAGGGAGGTGGTGTAGTTGGTGAGGAAGAAGGCGGCGGAGGCGCTGGAGATGCCACCGCCGACGATGCAGATGTCGGCGTCGGCGGATGCGTGGGGGAGGGGGAGCACTGGCAGAAAGCACCAAGAGGGAGAGGAAGAGGGGCAGCATCGAGTCCGATTCCAACCCGATTCGATGCGATGAAGAGGGGATGAGAATTGTTGGAGAAGACGAGGATTGATGAGTCGATGGTCAGCGGAACGGAGTGTTGACAAACCAAACCAAACAGCGGCACACACATGGTTTAGGTTCGTTGTTAGCTTGACTTGATGATCCTAGGATCGTGTGCGTTGGCAACGGAAAAAATATATTAAGATAATTCAAGCTTAAATATGTGTTATATTATTAAAAATACTTTAAACGTGGTGTTCGAACAATGTAAAGTTTTAGAAAATATTTGTTATTTCATGAGTATTCTCTCCAAGCAAAAAATCAAAGTGGGAGGGTTCATAACCATTATCCATATATTATTAGATATTATCTTTCCCCAAAAAACTACTCAGATTAAACAAGATTAATATAATCATATTTTTATTAGTATTTCTTTGTTATACAGTAACCAATATTGTACTTAATAAAAATATGTGTTTTACCAGAGACATGTTCATTTGTTGTTACTCCCTCCGTCCAGAAAAGAATATGTTTTAGAATCTTAAGTTTGACTAATTATAGATAAAAAGTATTAATACTTATGATATTAAATAAATACTATTAGATTAATTATGAAATGTATTTTTATAATAAATTAATTTGGAATTATAAATGCGAATAGTATTCACTAAAAACTTGGTTAAACGTGAACTACTTTTTACCGGCTCGTAACCCGTAGTTGCATTCTTTGCTGGATACATGGAGTAATTATTATTGTCTTCAATTATATTCATTGTATTTAAACTAAATGGAATACGGTGTGATGTTAGGGACAAACACAAATGTAAAAATCCTAGCATATCTTATAACCGTCATTTGACTACTGAACCAACACTCAATATAAATAACGCCAAGGGGAAGCGGAGGGACGAGGCCTCCGGGGCCTCGGCCCCCCACCTCCCCAAGAAAAAGAAAAATGGTCGCCAGGGGAAGCAGGAGGTCCTCGAGGCCGGTTTAGTCGCAGCCGCAGATCGCAAGAATCACCGAGGCCCCACTAGAGGCCCCAGGCTCTTCGACGACATGCTTAAGAAGCCCTGCCCTTACCACCAGGGCCCGGTGAAGCATACCCTCGAAGAGTGCACCATGCTCCCGGCGTTACACGCCAAGCTCGGGCTCCCCAACATGCGAGACCAAGAAGAAGACGCGGTGATGATAGGGACAACGACAGGGGACAGCGAGGTTCCCGAGGTGCACAACGCCTTCATGATCTTTGGTGGGCCTTCAGCGTGCCTCATGGCGCGTCAGCGAAAGAAGGAGCACAGGGAGGTCTTCTCGGTTAAGGTGGCCACTCCCCGGTACCTCAACTAGTCTCGGGAGGTGATCACCTTTGATTGGGATGACCACCCCGATTATGTCCCAAACCCCGGGCAGTACCCACTCGTCGTCGACCCGATCATTAGCAACACCCGGCTCACCAAGGTGCTAATGGACGGAGGCAGCGGTCTCAACATCCTCTACGCCAACACCCTGGAGCTCCTGGAGCTCAACCAGTCACGGCTCCGAGGCGATGCCGCGCCCTTCCACAACATCGTGCCAGGAAAACGCATGCGACCCCTCGGGCGCATCGACTTACCGTCTGCTTCAGCACTCCCTCCAACTACCGCAAGGAGATCCTCACCTTCGAGGTGGTAGGGTTCAAGGGGACCTATCACGCCATCCTGGGGCGCCCGTGCTATGCCAAGTTCATGGCAATCCCCAACTACAGCTACCTCAAGCCCAAGATGTCGGGCCTCAACGGCGTCATCACTATCGAGTCCACGTACGAGCATGCATACGACTGCGACGTCGAGTGCATCGAGTACGCCGAGGCTCTCGTGGAGGCCGAGACCCTCATCGTCGACCTCAACCGACTTGGTAGCGAGGCGCCCGACAATAGCATCGTGCCGGGACTTTCGAGCCCAGAGGGCCGTCAAGCTCGTCCCGGTCGACCCCACCTGCTCCAACGACCGGGCGTTGAGGATCAGCGCCACCCTCGACAACAAATAGGAAGCCGTGCTCATCGACTTTCTCCACGCGAATGCCGATGTGTTTGCGTGGAGTCCCTTGAACATGCCGGGCATACCGAGGGAGGTTGCCGAGGATGCCTTGGACGTCCGGGCCAGCTCCAGACCGGTGAAGCAGCGCCTGCGCCGATTCGACGAGGAAAAGCGCAGGGCTATCGATGAGGAGGTGCAGAAGCTTTTGGCAGCCGGATTCATCAAGGAAGTATCCCATCCCGAGTGGTTAGCTAATCCTGTATTAGTTAGAAAGAAAAATGGGAAGTGGAGGATGTGTGTAGACTACACCGGTTTGAATAAAGCATGTCCAAAGATTTCATTCCCATTACCTCGAATCGACCAAATCATCGACTCCACTGTGGGATGCGAAACCTTATCCTTCCTTGATGCGTATTTCGGTTACCATCAAATCAAGATGAAAGAAGCCGACCAGCTCGCGACTTCTTTCATCACTCCATTCGGCATGTACTGCTATGTGACTATGTCATTCGGCCTTAGGAACGCAGGGGCCACATACCAGCGGTGCATGACCCAGGTCTTTGGCGAGCACATCGAGCGAACCGTCGAGGCGTACGTGAACAACATCGTGGTCAAGTCTAGAAAGGCCAATGATCTCGTCGATGACTTGGAGATAGCGTTCAAATGCCTCAGAGAGAAGGGCATCAAGCTCAACCCTGAGAAGTGTGTCTTCGGGGTCCCCCGAGGCATGCTCTTGGGATTTATAATCTCGGAGCGCGGCATCGAGGCCAACCCAGAGAAGGTCTCGGCCGTGACCAACATGGGACCAATCCGAGACCTCAAGGGAGTGCAGAGGGTTATGGGATGCCTTGCGGCCCTGAGCCGCTTCATCTCGCACCTTGGCGAAAAAGACTTGCCTCTGTACCGTCTCTTGAGAAAATCTAAACGCTTTTCTTGGACCCCCGAGGCTGAAGAAGCCCTCACCAAACTCAAGGCACTGCTCTCCAATCCTCCCGTCCTGGTGCCACCGACCAAGGGCGAGGCCCTCTTACTCTACGTCGCCGCAACGACCCAAGTGGTCAGCGCGGCCGTAGTAGTCGAGAGGCAGGAAGAGGGGCATGCTCTACCCGTCCAACGACCTGTTTACTTCATCAGCGAGGTACTCTCAGAGACTAAGACACGCTACCCCCACATCCAGAAGCTGATCTACGCCATAGTCTTGGCTCGACGCAAGCTGCGTCATACTTCGAGTACCACCTGGTGACCGTGGTGTCGTCTTTCCCTCTGGGAGAGATAATCCAGAACCGAGAGGCCTCGGGTAGAATAGCCAAGTGGGTCGTCGAACTCATGGGGGAAGCCCTGTCTTTTGCGCCTCGGAAAGCAATTAAATCTTAGGTCTTGGCTGATTTTGTGGCTGAGTGGACCGACACCCAACTGCCACCTGCTCAAATCCAAGCGGAATGCTGGACCATGTACTTTGATGGGTCCCAGATGAAGACCGGGGCAGGCGCGGGTCTGCTCTTCATCTTACCCCTCGGAGTGCATACGCGCTACATGATTTGGCTCCACTTCGCCACCTCCAACAACGCAGTCGAGTACGAAGCCCTCGTCAACGGCTTGCAGATCGCCATCGAACTTGGAGTACGGCGTCTCGACGTACGGGGCGATTCATAGCTCGTCATCGATCAAGTCATGAAGGAGTCGAACTGCCATGACCCCAAAATGGAGGCATATTGCAAGTTGGTACGTCGCCTAGAAGATAACTTCGACGGTCTCAAACTCAACCATATTGCGCGAAAATTCAACGAGGCCACGGACGAACTGACAAAGATGGCGTCGGCACGGGCCCTGGTCCCCCCGAACATCTTCGCCAGAGACCTCCACAAGCCTTCCATCGACTACGCCTCGGCAGTGGAAGATAGCCCACCGGTCAAGCCCACCGCAGAGCCCGAGGCCCCCTCTGTCACCGAGACCCCTGTGGCCGAGCCCGAGGTCATGGAAATCGACGCGGAGCCTCCCGAGGCCAACCAGGGCATGGACTGGCGAGTCTCGTTCCTTGATTGCCTCGTTCGAGGAGAGCTTCCTGTAGACAGAACCAAAGCCCGACAGCTTACGCGACGAGCCAAAACTTACGTCCTTAGCAACGGCGAGTTGTACAGGCGAAGCCCATCTGGCGTCCTCCAACGATGCATCACCACCGAGGAAGGCCAAGCCCTACTTTGGGACTTGCACGCGGGAGCCTGCGGGCACCATGCAACGCCTCAGACGCTCGTCGGAAACGCCTTCCGCCAAGGGTTCTACTGGCCAACGGCGGTTGCTGACGCCACCAAGCTGGTACGCCCCTACGAGGGATGCTAGTACTATACGTGGCGGACGCACCTCCCGGCCCAAGCCCTCCAGACCATCCCCATTACATGGCCATTCGCCGTGTGGGGGCTGGACATGGTTGGGCCTCTACAGAAGGCCCCCGGGGGCTATACCCATTTGCTGGTAGCGATCGATAAGTTCTCCAAGTGGATTGAGGCTCGTCCGATCATTCGAATCAAATCCGAGCAAGTGGTGCTATTCTTCACTGATACCATCCACAGGTTCGGGGGTCCAAACACCATCATCACTAACAATGTGACACAATTCACCGACCACAAGTTCCTGACGTTCTGTGACGACCACCACATCCGTGTGGTCTGGTCGGCCGTAGGACACCCTAGGACAAATGGCCAAGTAGAACGTGCCAACAGCATGATCCTACAGGGTCTCAAGCTAAGAATACACAACCGGTTGAAGAAATTTGGCAAGAAATGGCTTGCCGAACTCCTGTCGGTCATCTGGAGCCTGAGGAACACTTCGAGCCGAGCCACGGGGTTCACACCGTTCTTCCTGGTCTATGGAGCCGAGGCCATCCTCCCCATAGACTTGGAGTACGGTTCCCCAAGGCTACAGGCCTACAACGAGCAAAGCAACTGCACTGCCCGCGAGGACACCCTCGACCAACTAGAGGAAGCCCGA